CGAAGTTATTCCAGTTTTTACCAATATTATTAATTCTTGTATATCATCCGCTACTATTCCCAACGTTTTCAAACGAGCTTATGTTACCCCTTTAATTAAAAAGTCTACACTGGATCCTAATGTTTTAAAAAATTACAGGCCAGTCTCTAATTTAAGTTTTATTTCTAAAATATTGGAGAAATGTATTGCTTCTCAGATAAAAGCCCATTTAGATGATAACTGTTTGTATGAACCATTTCAAAGTGCTTATAAACAATTTCACAGTACCGAAACAGCTTTAACCCGGGTTTCAAATGATATTTTAATGGAAATTGATAATAGAAAATGTACATTTTTAATTTTATTAGATTTATCTGCTGCTTTCGACACGGTGGAGCCTTCCATTCTTCTACGTAGACTTCAATTTAAATTCGGTATTTGTGGCTCTGCATTAAATCTTTTAGAGAGCTACCTTGTGGGTAGAAAACAGTGTATTTTAGTTAATTGCAAATCGTCGTCTGAATCTGTTTTGTCATCTGGGGTTCCCCAAGGTTCTGTTCTTGGTCCGATTTTATTTACCCTCTATACGTCACCATTAGGAGATATTGTCAGAAAATATGGTCTCAGCTTTCATTTGTATGCCGATGATACTCAATTATATATTTCATTTACACCTAATTGTCCATCTTCTTTCAATTTATCAAAATTGCAACTAGAGAACTGTATTAGTGAAATTAGAAAATGGATGTCAAAGAACTTTCTAAAATTGAATGATGATAAAACCGAATATTTGTTATTAGGCTCAAGGCATCAATTAAGTAAATCTGCACAAGATAACCCCCCTGTTGTAATTGGTAATTGTGATATATTTTCATCTTATTCTGCTCGTAATATTGGCGCTATATCTTTGATAGTTTTGTGCTTATGGGAGCCCAAGTAAATAATATTTGTAAATTGTGCTATTTTAATATTAGAAATATAGGTAAAATACGTAAATGTGTAACTGTAGAGGCCACTAAGCCACTTGTTAATTCTCTGGTCACTTCTCGATTAGATAACTTTAATTCACTTTTAGTTGGTTTACCTTTAAAGCTTATAGATAAATTACAAAAAGTACAGAATACTGCGGCTAGACTTGTTACTTTAACTAAGAAATGTGACCACATAACTCCTGTTTTATATAATTTACACTGGTTACCTGTTAAAATATCGAATTGATTTTAAGGTTTTATTACTTACTTTTAAATGTTTAAATAATTTAGATCCTGTTTACCTCTCGGATCTTTTAGAACTTTATACACCTGGCCGAACATTACGTACATCAGATAAACTACTTTTAAATCCCAAAACTGTTCAACTAGTCTCTTATGGTCAGCGCTCTTTTAGTTATCAAGTACCTGTTTTATGGAATAATCTACCATTTAGTTTAAGATGTTGTACATCTCTATATTCTTTTAAAAAACAACTTAAAACACATTTATTTAATCAGGCTTTAACTGACTCTGTATACAATCGTTAACATGCCCATAATCTTGTTGTTTATGTGTGATTTACATTGTCACTTTGTAAAGTGCCCCTGAACATGTTATATGAAAGAGTGCACTATAAATATGCTGTAATAATAATAATAATAATAATATTGTTCGGGTAAATATTACGGTGGCCATTTAGTGCCATACGTTGTTTTATATCTTTTTCCTGTAATTTACCTCATATGAGAAATTGCAGTGAAAACTATGATCAATCAAAAATCCATGAAAAACCTTTTCTCCGCGGTATAAAGTTTTATCCGCGGTGGAAACCCTTTCTCTGCAACATATCATGCGATTTACCTCCGCGGAAAAAGGTTTACACCGCAGAGAAAAACTTTATATCGCGGAGAAAAGGTTTATGCTGCGGAGAAAAGGTTTACATCGCCGAGAAAAGGTTTACACCGCGGAGAAAATTTTATACCGCGGAGAAAATTTTATACCGCAGAGGAAAGGTTTTTCATGGCTTTTTGATTTCTCATAGTTTTCATTGCGATTTCTCATATGAGGTAAATTACAAAAAAGGGTATACTATAAATCAAGTTATGGCACTAACAGGCTACCGTACAATATACTAATACTATGTAAATGTTTTCTATTCATATGTTACCAGGTTAAGCCACAAGTTTGCATATAAGTCAACTTGATCCTTTCTATATTTATTTGAATACTAATAAAATCAATCTGTGTCGGGTCATATTATTATACACTGAATTCCACATGTTAAGACTTACTGACAAAAATGATGATTTCTTTTGTTTCCCGATTTTTTCAGGTATCCTGGACCAAACGATCAGTTTACTCCTAAATCTGATGCTGCCATGGTGATGAATTCATACAACTTTAAAAAACAGTAAAAGCTGTATTTAAAGCAAAAACATTATTTAAAGCGAAGTAAAGACGTCGACGTTTATGTATGCATTTGTATCGATTATGGACCCATGTATATGCTTCCTCTTGCTCCATAAAATACCATCCCGTTTGACCCTTCACAATCCCTTACTTTAAATCTAGATTATGACATACTTTTAGGACTATAATATTGTGGTGGTTTGGAATGAAGCTCGACTAGGTACATGCATTAATTTAAAAAACAAAACTGCCTACGAAATCATAACGTAAATAAAGAAAATAAGATTAGAGACCCCGTCCCTGTTAAATAGCCCGATTAAAAGTGGTTTGGGTTTATCATTACCGTTTAACTATCATAGAGATTGTTATTGTAAAACGGAATTGTGCTGTATACATTGGCCGCTTTGTTATATATATCTATACACGTATTTCGTGTTTAAATATAATGGGAAATAAAACATAAAATTGGAGATTTTTTTTCATTTTTTAAACGTGTTGCAGTCTAGTTCTTTTAATATAACACAGTGCATACTAGAATTATTGGACATCCTCTCAGCTGGATCGTAAAGTGATTTACTTCCCTTTCTTTGTGATACAGTTTATCCATAGAAATGGTTTATCCAACGATTACACTACATTTTAAATAATAGAAATTGCCCCGTCTGCGACTTCATCATCGTCTGATTATCAGCAGATCAAAACTGTTCCAGGAGAACCGCTAAAAAAGATCATCATTAATACAAAGGTCTAACTAATTACACGGGTCTCCCCAAGTGGTAAAAGCAAGCACTAAAATCCATGAACTACTAGTGCTGCTGCCCCAGTTTTATTCCGATGTGTTTACAACCGGTTTCTGTGATTTTGTTTATTTCAATTCTCACCTGAGCCCATTTCAGCAAATTGGAACTTATAATACACCTCAAACACGGCAGGTACCAGACTTAACTGTGCCCAAGGAAAGGTCAACTACTTGCAACCTCCTCTGTATAAAACTGTGTCAAAGGTCAGTACTCCACTCTATGGTATCACCGGCCCTCAACTCCACTGAACCTAGGTGACATACTTTATGTACTGACATTTGGTATTCGATTATTCCATCCGAGTGAACAAATATTAATGATTTGAGAAAGTGGTCATGACCTCTTCTTCAAGTCAACTTTAAATATTTAAACAATTATTTGTTAGCCATCTTACCTGCTGCAAACATATTAGTAGTTCCTGTATGACATCTTCATATGTATTTGGATCAATAATTAAAAACAAATTTAAAAAAGGTCTTGAAATTTTGTTAGAATTTTATTGCTCCTTATATATACTGAGAATATATACTATGATAATTATAATAAACAATATGGCAGAAATCGGGGATTATCTTGTCACTAATTTTGTCAGTATGAAATATGCAACGACTTCTGACTAGAAAAGTAATGAAAAGCTAGGTCTATAGATAAAAAAAAGTTATATAGTAAGTTTTCTTATGACAAAATACAAATGATAAATTAGCAACAAAATACCTTGCCCAATGACATTTTTCACAACCGATAGAAAATATTACTAAGACTTTAATTGTTAAAAATAAATATGTATACAGTAGAAAATTTTAGGTTCTCTAGAATAATATAAAAATTAAATTATTAATGATAAATTTTCTTGGGACAAATAAAATATAATACACTGAACTCCATATTTTGTGAACTTAGGCTCTTTATTGATCCATAGAATTTTACGAATGGATATGTACATTAATTTTGATATGGATCATTTTAAATTAAATATAAACGGCAAGTGACATTTTAGAAAACTAAAATTCTAATTAACAGAGATTAACAAGGATTTGTAGAAAAAATAATTTCTTTATTGTAACTTAGTACAACCACTGAATTTTTATAACTGATATGGACATTCTGGATATGGACAGTTTCAAAAATGGACGCTAAAGTTTGGAAGGCACAACATCTATTGTTGAGAATATAATTTTTATTCCCAATGGACTGAAATTTGACTTATGAACGGAGATAAAAAAAATAACATTCAAAAATTGCTGCATAGTTTCATGAAATGTTGACAATAATCTAGCTTCTAGCCTGACAAATAATAGTACAAGATATATGTGATTATAAATATGCACAACAGCCTAGAATAATAGCTATTTATATAAAATACATTATAATACATAAGAAAAAGAAAGCATTTTATATAATATTCAGTGATATGCAGTTTGTACAGTATTATATAAAAAAACCAGTGATATATGATAAATTTGTACTATTGAATATGTGAAGTAGCACAATGAAATAATACAAAGGATAAAATAGTATAAAATCTTGGTTTGTAAAACAATATAATATCATAGTATACATATACACTATTTACAAACAATGTACAAACAAATATATATAACAAAATATTATATACGGCTACATTGTTCTCTGAAGGAAGGGTATGCAAATACTAATGCATATATATGTCATCCTACTAGATTTAAGGGTTGATTTTGTGGGAGAAAAAACCAACAATATATTAACACCCTAAAAACATAGTGATTGGGTCCTACCACCACCTGACAACAATAAGTATACAAGATATTTACACAAATGTCAATTCAATTTTAAAATCAACCCGTCATCTAAATTAGGATCCTTACCTATTAGCAATCACAAGCAAGGTACAGTTAATATTATTGTATCAATCTGTATTTTTTTTTTTTTTAACATGAATAATGCGAAACAAGGTATCAAAACCAAATTCTGTTTGGTTATAAAATGGAAGTTGATATGAAATGAATGTTATGAGCAATGGAATTTATAACTTACTAAACATTATATTAAAACATCTATTTACAATATTAATACAGATGGAATGGTCTGCAGTGAACATGATCTGTTAAACACTTAATAAGTACTGATATTAAAAATAGTGACACATGAACACATTAATTCTTCTTAACCTACTTCACTTCATTATACAATTCAATCCTACTTTTATTGAGCCTATTTTTTTCCACTCTCTACCAAGGAAAGCTAAATCTTTAAACTTTAAGCAAGAAAGCTAGAGCACAAATCCCTCGAATCTTGAAAGTTTTCTAACAGGCATGACTAAATTTATACAAGTCAAGTCTACAAGCATAAAGAATCTTTAATATTACATTAAGTTTTGGTTAAAATTCTACATAAGATAGCACTAACTGTGTAAAATTCTGTTGTTTTTTTTAAAAAATAATTGTACAATTTAGTATAATAAAATAATTCTATTTTTATGCTATATTCATCACATAAATTTACATCTTTGTTCACAACGTTTTTAATATATGGGGCAATATATATGGCGTATCTCACATACTGATGTCGTATTATAGTGAAGAGAACATTTGTTCTGTATGCTGTCACTGTCCATTCATCTGAGATTCGATAGCACGCTGAGTTGAAGAAGATTTCGGTCTTTTCTTTATCGTATCTTCTCCGGCTTCTTTCGCAAAATATTTCATTTTGTCTCTAAATGACATTCTGTCCGCTTGTTTTTTGATTGGGTTATCGTGGGCTTTTTTGGCCTCGATTATCCGACTGCGTGGATCGCGATACACTTCTTGAGCTCCAATAACACCAGGTGTTGATTCAGAGGATAAATACGTAATGTTATTTTGTTGTGATGGGCTATCGAATACTTCATTACTACTGGTGTTATACGAATCTGATACTGAAGTTGTTACGTTGTGTTCTGAAGATTGTGAAGACCTGTAAGACGATTGTGAGTTCAAAGGACTCCTCTCATTATCACTATACACATTCGTTTCTAACTGAGTATTAAAAGATACCGATTTTTTGGGAGCTGAGAGGTCTGAACGATAACCTGGAGGGCCTAGATCACGACTGTTCATTCCCTGGTAATCATCGTGTGGCATGTTGGCATTTTGTCGTTGCTGATTAAACAAATCGTACGATGAATTACGTTCGGGAGGAGGAGGGGCTTGATTTTCTTTTCCAATAGAATTAGGTGGCAAATTAGCATATTGTTGATATGCATCATTGTGACTTTGATTTTGTGTGTTTATAGTATCAATACGTCTCCGCTCCTCCGACACTTTAATCTCTCTTTGTTGATGGATCCGCTGTTGCTGCTGTTGTAATAATCGTTGTCGTGAATATTCTTCCTCTCGTTGACGTGCCTCTGCACGGAGTTGTTTTTCCTCAATATCTCTTTGTGCCTGCAGTTCTTGTAAACGTTCTCTCTCCTATAAAATTTGAAAATTGTGTTTGTCATAATAAATCTGTCAATTACATTTAAATTACACAAACCTCACTATTATCAATATCATAATTTCAATTTCCTATGAATAACAGAATTGTGGCCAATATACTCAAACATTATGTTAGTCATTCACTCTAACCAGATTACTATCCAATTAACAGAAAAAAAAGTAATACTTACCATTAATCTTCGTTTGTTGATTTCTTCTTCTCTCCGTTGTTTCATTCGTTCTTCTTCAGCTAACAATAAACGTTTTTGTTCTTCATAGTTTTGTCTCTGTTTGTCATGTAACTCCTGAAATATGAAGACATTTTGTTAAAAATACATTCTCACGAAAAAATTTATCGAGTGGTTATTTTCATTAAAAGTATGTCAACTTTGGTATATATGGAAAGTATAGACGCCAAATCTTAATAGAAAAATACTGGAATACACGAAAAACACCTATGGGGCAAGTACTAGACCAAAAATGTCAGGGTATCACTCACTGGCAACCGGACAGCTTATCGTCTAGGGAGTGGGTGCTATTTGGGGAACATTGTGTATAAAGAAGTTGGCAGAAAATAATTCAAGAATTTTCAATACGTAAGATAAATGGACAGTAAGTAATGACAAATACATTAGAAAAATGGACCATCCCTCAATAAAGTTAGGTGACAAACATTGCTTCTAAAAATAGTTTTTTTTATAGCTTGGGGTATCTCGCAAATGCAAAGTTTGAGAGTAATTTGAAGCAAATTTTTGATAAATTAATTGGTTTGAACATGTTTTTAGTCCAAATATATCATCAAATCTTCACAGTTTGTATCCAGGAAGGTATCTTTAAACACTGAAATCAATTCATTAAAACTTATATCTGACTCTAAAGTAGCACACCATACATAAACAGGCAACAATAAATAACCATTAATCTCAAGATTTATCATCCAGGTGATAATAAAATTGACTTACTCTTTGTTTTTTCAAATGTTCAGCATGTTCTCTTTGCTTTCGTTCCTGACGTTTTTGTGATCTCTGTCTTTGTTCTTCTCTTTCTTTCTCAAACATTTCTAATCTTCTCTCTAACCTATAACATATGTTGTTTATCAAATAAAAATATATCAGAACCTGAACTAAAGCTGCCACTCCCCTTATTATTCCTAATCTTTATCAATCAAAATTTCCCAGTTTAAAAAAATGCCCTAGCGACGAAAGTAAATTAAAAGTTTTGCCTTAGTGTACATAAAAACTGCCGTAGTGACGAAGGAATTACTGTGGCATTTTTTGAAAAAATAAATGCCTTCGTTCTAATTTCATGCATTTTGACACCTGAATATGGACAGATGCCCTTCATAAATACATAGAGAAGACTGTAACATTCTAATAAAATCAATCTATAAACTAATTTTGATAGTAGTGCAGTTGAACAAAAACATTTCACAAGTATAATTTACAAACCTCTGCATTCTTTCTTTTTCTCTCTCAAAATCATCATGTAGACGTCTTCTATCTAACTCTTCCATTCTAGCTCTAGCTTTAGCCAAATCATCTTGCATTTGTTCTATCATCCTCTCTCTTGACTGAAATATAATTATCATAGTACATATGATAATGGTTTCGTGAAGTTAAAGATACATTATAGAAGATCAGATAAAGAGCTAGCAGCTCTCACTATAATAGTTAAAGATAGGTTGCCAGGCAACAAAACATACAACCACAGCAGCTAAATCGTCCGAGAGGTCGACAAGGGCTGTCGCAGATTTATTCTTTTGTAGGTAATTGGGGGCATTTACAAGACAATTTCATACAGATCAGATTATAATTTTCATCATTTGAGGGTTCAAAAGGTTCTACAAACTCAAACAAGGACCTTAACTCAGAAAGTAATTTACAGAACTTGTTAAAATTTGACAGGCTTTTTCATTTTACTAATTTAAATAATGCATATAAATTTCATAAAGATCGGATAACTTTTGTCATTCAAACAATCACAAAGTAAAACAAGAGCCATAAATCTAGAAGTAATTGACAGAAATTGTTGAAATTAAGTAGACTTCTTCCTTTCAATAATCTAAATGATGCACATAAATTTCACACAGATCAAATGATAACATTTGTTGGTTGACGTTGATAAGGTTGAACAAAGTGAAACAAGTGCCATAACTCTAGACGTAATTAACGTAAAATATTGAAAATTAAATGGGCTTATGATAAATTTTGGTGTTAGAAAGTACACAAGGTTCAACAAAGTGATGTAATTAACGAAAATTGCTGAAATTCAAAAGATTTCTTCATTTCACTAATTTAAATAATGCATATAAATTTCCATGTGGGCGTATAAGAACTAGAAAATGTAAAGTGAATATGCTGAAAATTTCAATCAAATTGCTCCACTCTGAACCAAGATATTAGCAATTGATTTTTCGGCCTAGCCTCGGTACGATAAAAAACATAGTCTCGATTATCCATTTTTTGATTTAATCATCAATGAGCATTGAGAAGCAGATCAGAAAGACCTGAAATAGGCAGATTTAGCTCTTGCATAATGTGTGTTTAAATTAATTTGTGGAATTGTAAACACATAATTCTTCAGCAATTACCTTAGCTGCGATTCTGTAGGAGGACTACTTTTGGACTGCTGTGCTTGTTTCATAGAAAAGAACTACACTAGAGCTGGGCGATATTTCGTTTTTTCGATATGAAACATATGTATAGAAAAATTGTCTTTGTTTTTATGTTATTTACCATATTTTATTTTCTAGTGATGAATAAATAGCAATGAATAATATAATAAAATCCTGAGCGTTCATTCTACGAAGTTATAGCTATGTTTACATCATGAGAGTTCTTGCTCATTTAGCACCCGACCTACTGCTCCTGTTCAATTTTATATGCACCTTGACGAGTTGTATAGCCTACACCGATGCTTTTTTTTATAGTTCTTTTGAGTGAGTGAATTTTAGATTTGGTGTTTTTGTACTGTAAAATTTACTTTCCAAAATACTGTGCTTATGCTTAATTTGTTTAAAGGAGCTAAATCGCTAACATTTGGGACCTAGAAATTGACAAAAGTGGGTCGCAACGCATACAATACTGTAATATGAATGTGTATAAACTGATTTACATTCAATTGTTTCCGTTTTTACTCCAATTTCAAATCAGTTATGTTCGGCGAAATAAGCCAGCAGTCTCAAGCGAGTGCAAATTTCTAGTGTCTGCTTATTCCAGTCTACATACGCCGTTTGATTTGGCCCAATGTGTCTAGCCTCGTCCCTCGAGTCTCTTGATGTAACTGGGGCTGAGGCGTCTTATGGTACACGATTCGTGTACCAATGGTAAAATGTTTATTTTGTCTTAAATATTGGATATCAAAAGCCCATCTTTTCCCGGTAAGATCAAAACATGAATGTTGATTTAATTTGACAAATAAATCGTGTTTTCAATGTTGAAGATTTTGGATGATATTGAGTTAGAGACTTAGCTACTTGAATACTATTGACTACAATGTGTCAAGTAAATACTCTGAGGTCATGTCCAACTTTGCATACATGTTTCTTTACAGTTGAAGGGTGATAAACTGAAATTATTGACATTTTATAAAATATCGCGATATACTGATAATATCACAATAATTTTGGAAAATATCGCAATGTTTGTTTTCCAGGATATCAGCCAGCTCTAGACTACACACAGAACTACTTGACTGTAACTGTGACAGCAGACTGATTTGAATTGCAGTTTCAGAAAACAAGCAAGATATTAACTTACATAAATTCTATCTGCCGACTCGGAATCAGAATCTTCATCATATTCTCCTTTATCTACAACTTCTTTCACGCGTCTCTGAAACTCGTGTTCAAGGCGTAGCTTGCGTAATCTTTCTTGCTCTTGCATATTGAGGTAACTCTTGGATTCCAGCACTGCTATTTCTTGTAGACGTAACCTGGAAGCCAGTTCTTCTTGTTCTTCAGCATCCTTTTCCTTCTTTTCTCTAACCCACGGTGATGCAGCAGAATATTCTGGATCACCAACAGTAAGGTGGGTTGCTTGCCCTTGCTGCCAACTCTGTGGTCTTTCCTGATTCGGTTTCTGGAAGTTTGGAGATTTCTTTGGTTCATACGGTTCGTACACATTATGCTCTGCTGGAAGTTGAGGAACAGGGGGAGGTTGATTTTTACCACCATTCATGTTATTAAAGTTAATATTCTGATAATTGGGAATATTTGGCTGAACTTTATAGCTGTCTTGATCTGAACTGGGTTGTGGTCCCCGTCTATCAGTAGGGTATGCACCAGGGCCTAAACGTCTTTGTTGTTCATTTTCATTCATTTGTTGTTGCAGACGTCTTTTTTCTTCTTGAAGCTGTTGATCTAACATAAAGTCTTGGGGATTTGGCGGAGGGGGGAGTGGAGGTGACTCTTCATGTAAATGATCAAGCACTGGAGGGGGTGGTAGATCAGGAGGTGTTTCAGCTGTAGGAGGTGGAGGGAAGTCCGAAGGATCCCGATAATTCAATCCACCATTTTCTCTTACTGGTGAGAATTTTTGGTTGAAGCTCTGTTGGCTCCGTTGATCTGGAGGTGTTCTGGGATCTTGAATGCGGCCATCTTGTCTGTTTCTTAAATCACTTTGATTATACGGTATTGGCTGTTGGACAACATGGGTGTTAAAATTGGGACCAGCTCCATTAATAGGTCTACTGAAATTACTGGGTGACTGTTGTAATTTTTCAACTCTTACGTAGGGACTTTCAACCGGTTGATTTGGCATCGGTCCTGGTTTAGGAACAACTGCAGGCTTTGGAGCTACTTTGGGTTTAGGTTTCATATCTATCTCTGGTCGTGATGATTGATTGTAAGGATTTCTCAGGTCTGGCTGAGAAATAGTTTCATTTCTTGAAGGTGGATTATATGAATTCCTTAGGTTTGGCTGAGAAATATTTTCATTTCTTGGAGGTTGGGTGTATGAATTTCTAAGGTCGGGTTGTGATGCATTTTCATAGAAATTAGGCCTTTCACTATCATTCATAATTCTGGGAATGTCTTGAGCACTGACGTATGGTCTGTTAGTGAACCCATTGATATTACTATCTCGTTCAATGTTACTATAAGGAGGAGAATTTTCAGCTTTACCAGAGTCATAATCATTTCTATACACCTGTGGCGTATCCTCCATCTTATTCTGCCATTCTTGAATCTTATTGGAAGTAATTTCTACAGATTTGGGTCTCAGCTGGGATAAGTCCTCATTTCTATTTTGAGGATCGAAATAAGCTGACTGGGGTCTAACGTTATCTCTATTGCTGGAGGAAGATGTACGAGAAGACATTGAAGAACGATCAGCTGGTCGCTGATTTGGGTGAAGATATGCCTGAGAAGGAGGTGGACCTTGTGCTTTACCAGGCATCAGATTGTGATTCATGTCCTGGAATCGTGGATCTCGTCCACCCTTCTGAGTATCGATGATGGGTCGACCATTTGGAGCACTGCTGATATTCAATTGGTTCTCGTAATCTGGGTTTCTATCTCCATATTGAGGATTGTCTCGACGAACCCCTGGTGGGTAGTGACCTTGGCCTTGTGGATGATGAAGGACACTTACAGAGGCTGCAGGTTTCATTGAATGTGGATCATAATTCCTGTTATAGCTTGGATCCTGAACTAAATTGGAAGTTGATTTGGAACGAGGATCCATGTCATGCATGTCTCTTCGAAAATTTGGATCCTGGTGCCTCTGTTGAAGAGGAGAACTTGAATTCGGTCCCATGAGTTGTTCCACAGCACCTAAAACAATAAATTTCAAGAATTTAACTATAAGCCTGTATGCATCTTAAGGGATAGTATGTGACTCATTTACACTGAAATAGAACCAAGACCTGGTTCTGTTTTATACCCACAGCATTTATTAAATTCCTATTTCCACACCTTTCAAATGAGATATATAAATCAATAAACTTACTACGAGGTTGAGGTTTAAGAACACGTTGTTGTGGTATTGGCATCTGTTGTGGTCTAGGACTGGATTGAGACCTTGGTATCTCCATTCTTCCCATGTCCTTTGGACCATCTGTATAAGGTGGTGGTGCCTCTTCATTGAATGGTCTTCTTCCGTTCATCTGTGGATCACTTTTCTGTGGTGTTCCAGCTGCTGCAACAAATAATATACAATTATTTAATATAAAATATTAAGTTTCAAATTAGGAATTTATGTACTTCTTTCATTCCAATAAAGACAAGAATAATGTTCAGAAGAAATATGTCACATTAATTGTTTAAACCAATATCCAGTAATACAATTATTCTTCTAAATCCCAATTCATATATGTTTAATTATTCAATAACCAAGTAACTTAATATAGATCAATTGTAGTCAGAAATGTGACATCAATGTTGATTTTGAGATAATTTTCATAATGAAAGCAACTAAATTTCCAAACATATCAATTTTAAGACCTGTGAATTCTACCCATTATCTATCTGATTCTGTTTTGTTTTTACATTGAAACATCTAAATTAAATAGGCGTGCATATTTTTGCAATATATGACAATTCTCTATATTATTTTACCAAATCAATCTCAAGGAACTTAGTAACTGGTTTAGTAACTGGTTTATCATACATAGTAGGTTACTATTCTTCTGCTACTGATCTCTCAAATAAATTATATACATACCTCTTTGTAGAGTTGGCGATGCTTGACTGAGAAATGTTGCCAAACCATGATAAATAGCACCTTGTTTAGCTACTTTTAAAGTAACTCTATCACCAGTTTCTCTCATTAATTCAGCTGCTCTTTCTTGTGTAACACCAACTAGACTTCTACCATCTACTTCTAATAACTGATCTCCTGTCTGTAGTCTACCATCCTATAAATAAATATATAATTATCAATTTAAGGTATCTACAATATTGGAAAGTATTCATTCTACCTCCGTATAGAAATCAAGTTTTCACACAAAAAGTACTAAATTATCACCCCATTAAGATTTGTTGGGTTATTTTTATCATACCATCTTATTCTATTACATATTGCCAAACAAAACTTTTCATTTCATAATAATGTGCGCTAATCATATAAAAAAAAAACTATGTCACTTTTGTTTCCATTGAAACACAAATTTATCAAATAAATGTTTGAAGTGTTTACAAAGTTTCATAAAGATATTTTGAACAGTTTATGAGATAGTTCTGGAAACAAACTAGGAAAAAGTACAGCTGGGTGGAAAGAGCCCATTAGAACAGGACAATTACTTACCAATGCTGCAGCACCATTTGGAACAACAGATTTGATATAAATGCCCCTTTCTCTTTGTTTATCTCCCTATAATTTAAAAAAAAAACAATTAGAAAAAATCATAAATATGGTATATGTATCAATACAACCCTTCAAAATAATTATAAACAATAACTTGAGCACTACAGATTAAATGAAACAGTTAATGGAATGGTCAATTTAACTTACTATGACTTTGAACAAAATATGATAATTTAATGGTTTCCTCCTTTTCTTACTCAATCTAAATAAGTATTAACTTACTGTTGCTGCAACAATACTAAGTCCCATACTTCTTTCTACTTTATTAAATGCTACAACCATTATTTCTGGGTCTCTAGGTAGTCCTTGTTGTTGTATACCTGGTAGAGGAGATGGCATACCCTGACTCTTTGGTGGTGTACTCTGCAAAAACATTAGTATATATAATTGACATATACTAATCATGTACCCAGCCTTTAACGGCTAGAGAGAGAGAGAGATTTAACCTCCACCTGACACAAGCTATGTCATTTTGGGACTAACATATGGTTAAATTTTATTTCATTATTTGCTTGTGCCTAGCGGTCTTTATCAGTGTGAGTAAACTGGAGGACCTGGAGAAAACCCACGAGGGGATAAAGGCAATCCTACTCCTTGTCACTTCGTTGACCAGTTAAGAGTCAAAACTGGAATTATTATAACTCTAAAACCAGAGGAGGTTATTCAACACAACCAGGCCTAAGTCACACAGGCAGCCCTTATATCCTGAATTGCAGCCCTGTGTCAGCACTATTGTAGCCACCAATCAGGAACAGAAGAACAAACAAATAACTGTTATAAAATAATACATACCTCAAGAGATCTTGGTTCTCCTCCCATATATACTGTCCAACTACCACTCGAGTTATTGTTAGGTATCATTTGACAAATACCTACAAAAATATTCATAATAAAATATCGTAATACGATAAAATATATATTTGTCAAAATATTTATAGCAAAACTTGTTTTAACCCTTTCAGTATCAAAAATGCTTGATGTTGAAACCTCTTCTTATTTTATGTATGTTTGTATTCTATTTGCTATGTGTCAGCATACTTTTGATATCAATTAATAAAATTTCTTCAAAAATAACATACTTTTAATCGCTAACACTGACCACAAAGAGATAAACATAAACCCTGCCATCTATGAAATTGTCTTCCCCAAATAACTAACTATTGACATGGTCGCACATGTGGTCAAATGAAATGCTACAACTATTCTAGAAGTGCTAAAGTAAGCATATAAATATATGTTGAAAATTGTCTATATATGGAACCGAAAGGGTTAATTATAAAAACTGCAGTTATTCTGTTAAAAATATATTTTTCTAATAGTGCAACAAAGGTCAAAAGATTATACAGAACTGTTCTGTATTGCTAGAAATCTAATTAAATACTCAATCAAATGATATAAGAGGAATAATGTTTTAGTCTAGTGCTCCTACGGTTAGGACTTTTATTCGAATAGCCGTAGCTATTAACCGGTTAGTAACCGTTAACCGTATGGTATCAATTTTAAACATAAAACAGAGCTTGTCAGGAGGTGCGAGTCATTACTCGTGCGCACGCTATACTCGCCTAAAAGGCATTACACGCGCAAAAATTTCAGGAAATTTTTCAGACATGTACAATTCTTTGAAGAAAATTTAAACTATCTAAGGCCGTAGTTATTTATTTACCTGGTTAACTTGGTTGATTTGAAACATTTTTTAATTCAATATATAACGATAATATACAAAACAATACTCTGGTTCCCTTCGTACGTGACAGATGGCGATAATATTACGATTACACAATTTTACTAAGAATAGAATAAAGTAAATTGGAAGGCGTCTATTGATTGGACAATAAAGAAATAATTCCTCACTTGCAAGTAGAATTTTTATGATTGGTTAATTTAAATAAAAACCAAAGTGGGAATCTTGCGAGAAATTACGAGATATAAAACGTGTTGAATGTCGTAACGAATCTAGTATAATGTCATTTTCTAGCCTTTATGATTATATTTTGAATGGTGGTTACGTTTTGAAGTAAATAATAAACACGGTAGAATATAGTTAGAAATGCCGAGAAGTATTTAGATTGGATTAACAATAGCAAAAGTCAGAACAAGGTCCGTTGACTTTGCCATATGACTACGACGAGTGCTATTAAATAATAGTATTATTTTTTAGCAGTCAACATCGTATGACGACTGTTACATTCTAAGATTTTCAAACATCAAATACAAAATGACAACAGGCAAGTTTTGTTATAAAGAGGAATATAATCAGACACAACTCTATGTAATGGGGGACATCTCCGAATAACTGTACCGTTGAATTCGAACCGTTTAACCGCCCAGTTCTAACCGTTTACGGCTATCCGACTAGTCGTAGGAGCACTATTTTAGTCATACCTGAATTAGTCAAAGGTTTAATAAATTCAGGAAGTCCATTTGGTATTCCTCTAATATTATCACAGGAATAACCATCTTCAGGTAATAGAAATGGTAAATGTAAATCTTGATCTTCTTCTAACATAACTTCCCGTCCCTCAGATCGTGTAGATAAATCGGCCATACTCTCAGCAATAGACACCAATCTCTGTATAAACTGATGTGATATTGGAGGTTCATTATCTTCTGGTATATATTGTGATAATAAACATTTTAATTGTTCAGAATTAAGTTTAAAACATGTTGAGCTGATATTGGTTACATCATCAGATGTCATCTTTGGAGCTTGTAAAAGGTGAGCAGCCTGTAAAGAAGAAAATAATGTATTAATAATATAACAATAAATTGTAAGACAAGAAAAAAACAAATCTAAGAAAAACTGACTGAAATATATGGGAAGGAGGTTAGTGGATTTTGGAATATTTGAACACAAGGTAAGTGGATCATTTCCTGTATGATTATCATAACTCACTAGAAAAGAGCCATTTGCCCATACTGACAGGTTTTTAGTAAACATTTCACTATTGTTTGTTTAACTTTTCTGACTGAAATGGGAATTTTGTTTTTTTTTAAATATAGATCTGCTTTTGTTCAAAAGCAACTTTTTTCAAACATTTTTAATTCCGGTCAGTTATATGAATTCAACAAACCTGATGAACACAATATAAAGTTTTGAATTTTAAAACCCAAAGCATTTCATAAGTGAATTTCACAAATTGACTAGTAATAAACAAATCTAACCTGTATTATGCGACACAGATGACAATCAGCAGCCAATTCTAGACCCTGTTTTTCTGCCCACATCTCTATTTTACCCAATCGTCGCTTTAACCGTATTCCCCATTGAGCTGTACACATCTGTAGTTGAGGTTCTGATACGATCATATTAAACAGCCACATGTTGATAAAATGAAACAACTGCGAGAAGAGTTGTATAGTTAAAGCAGCATTAACACGACATCTACGTAATAACGTCATGGCGGCAGATAAAGTTGTTAAAACATCACCTAATGTTGGTCTGTTTGGATTCATTCTCTGTTGATCCATCACTAATTCGAAAATAAAAACAAGCAAAAAAATATTAGTCACTGTTATGAATAAAGGTACTTTAATGTGATAGGTATGCTTGTATTATGAAAATCCAAATATAGTTTAAATGCTTTCTGATACTAATGCTATGCACCACATATTTTTCTTGATAGTGTGACATGATGTACGTTTTGAAAATCAAACCAGCAATGCCAGGCATGGAATCCATACAACGTTCCAGATTATGTCAAAGGAAATTCTCCAGAATAGAAAAATCTAGGGTTCCAGATATATGAACTGTGACACAATATGCCACATATATCCCTGCTAAATAAGGCACAATCAAATGTTACTATTAATAGAAACATTAAGTGTAATGCATCAGGTCTAGCACAGAGTTTCCATCAATGTCACTGTAACCACATTTTGTGAAGCAGAATAAATATATTTTAATAGAACTTATTAATAGTTTGAAATATTTCTACAAATAAATCAACTCACTTTCATCTTCTACCATTTCACTAGGATCTAGAAAAGCTGACATAACTCTCTGTAGATCGCCCTGTAAACATCGTACTAGATGGTGAAATGCCATCTGTACAGCTTCAGCCAACATCTCATGAGCTTCAGGACTATACTGATGTGTGTCTCTATCCATCTTAAAGAAATGTAGGATCTCTGAAGCATTGGCCATCCAAAAAGCTAGAGCTGTTGGGTCATTGTGTTGATCCTGTAAAAGATGGAATAATGTTAATAAAACATACTGGATCATCCAGCCTAGAAACGTTCAAAACTAAATTAAACACTCAATTATTTACGGGTTATTATGGCACCTACATGTAGGCTATGTATGGTCTTGAGCATGCATACTAACATGGAACTGTGTGTGATATAAATGTACATATTATTATTATTTATAGGTAATATATTTGTATTTCCCTGAATTTAAAACTTCAGAGAACTGCAACTCTTCCCGTCACTTCCCCAAACAAACAACTAACCACATCAGTCTGTAAATCAGTCATCAGTCATCAGTATAACAAAATAAATCAGAAATTTGACTTTGCCTAAAAGTTCACAAAATCAAATGGTGTACCTGAATAGCTCTTTGAACAAGTTTTGAAATTTTTCTGACAAAATCTGTAGTTCTCTGTGGCCGTTGGTAGCGTTGAGCTAGAAGATGTCTCATGGCCATATATAATGTGTATGTTGAAGCTAGTTTAAACTGTACAGCTCGACTATTAACATCTAAAATAACTGCTGATAGTAGTGCATCTTCAGCTGAAAATAAAACATATGAAATGAAATGAAATGAAATGTGGTTTAACGTCCTACTCTTCTGCACCTAACCTGGGCTAATTGAAGACGGGCATACGCCATACAGTGTGCTATGAGGGAAATTTTGCCAGGACAGCGGCGCTACTGCCTACTCTTATATCGAATTCCAACTGCCAAGGGATCTTTTACGTGCACGCCAATGTGTACACGGGACCTCGGTTTTTCGTCCCATCCGAACGACTAGGCAGCTGTCCTTGTCAGGCCCTCCGTTCTGCATCACTGACAAGGGGAAATCACGCCGGAAAATCGAGATGAACTTTCTCGGCCAATGCAGGGATCGAACACCCGACCTCCAGGCTAGCGAGCCAGTGCCTTACCCACTTAGCCACGTGATCCCCATAAAACATATGAAATGAAAGATAGGTCGAAAGGCCAAAAAAAACAAACTATACCCAGCAAAAGCCTTGTTATTAGGACTTTGTCACTGAACCACTGTGGCTAACAAATTAATATTTACCTAAACTGTTAAGATTAAAATGATGTTACTTACCATCATCTCTGAAGTCCAATGTAACAGGTAACAGATTATCCGGTTGTACTAAACCTGGTTGCATTCCTTTAGGACTCGGACTCTGTGGTGATCTACAAAAAAAATGCAATAAATCTAAATAAAAGATACTCAATATATTTACCAAATACCCTAAACCAGATTCATTCCTGATTTTCTATATTTATACTCTGAAATGAACTGGGGTTTAAGTTTATATTCTGTTACCAGCCACAAATGAATTCAGAGCAATGTATTCAATGACTGTACCGTATAAGGTAGCAGGAAAGATTCAGTTTGAGTCTATTGATTTTTTAACAATCAGAAACAAGTTATTAGATATATATTTCAGCCCACCTCTGTAAATCATTCCATTCATTTTGTTTTCTAGGAGCTGGTTTAGGTGAGAGATTATTTATAGGTTCTACTTGACCATCTACATCAAAGTTTGTTTCATGTGGTCTACCAGGACTAAATCCAGATTTCTGTAGAGGACCATCAACCACTGTCCTACCAGGTGGCATCTGAAATTCAAATTTGTGTGAAGCATATAAAGAATTCCAAACTCAGCTTTCCCCTTGATTTATTTTATCCCAATTTTAAGATCTATAAACGATATATTATACCTCATCAAATCTAGGATCACAGAATCTGTAGACATGATGTTTACCAAATTGCAGCACCATTCCATGTTTTAACATGGTTGTCTCAAATATTCTGGTATTCTCTACATATGTCTCCGCATCACGGCTAGTTGGAGTTACGGTTACTATCCCTTCTGTATGAGCTACCACACAATGTCTAGGTTTAATATCATTACCAAGTAGCTAGAAATCACAAAAACATTAAAAATATATTATGCAAGAGCTAAATCTGCCTATTGCAGGTCTTTCTTTAGGCCTGAAATGTTATATAAACTATTAATTAGAAATTTAATAACATGAATCCGATCTGCTGCTTAACGCTCATTGATGATCAAATCAAAAAATGGATAATCGAGACTATGCTTTTTATCATACCGACTTTAGTAATGATGATCAAGGCTAGGCCTAAAATTCAATCACTAATATCTCGGTTCAGAGTTGAGCAATTTGACATTTTCAGCATATTCCCTTTACATTATCTAGTTTTTAACTATTATCTAATCTTCTCTAATGCCCCTTTAACATAAGTTCATAAATAAAATAAAAATATTTCTCCAGGAATCCACCATGGTAGATGTATGGTATAGTGTACTGGAATATCAACTAAAATGTCCAGGTCGAGTCCTGGCACAAAAACCAGAGGACCTGTTTGTTTAGGCTACTCTTGGCAAGGGCTATAAGAAATACCACTACCATGGCAAAATTTACCAACTACTCGAACAGCACACATTGCTGCAGAAACAAATAACCTTATCATTTATCTTAAAACACTACTTCCTTTAAGATTTCTTTAGTTATTAACAGAAATATAACACGCATTCAGCAAGAGCAATGACTTTAATTTTTCTTCTGAATGAAGGGAGATAACCCATTCAGCATGAATTTTGATCATTGTATATAATATTTGAATGACCATAAAGCTTATATCTCTATCTCGATACATCAATCAACAAGATTAATTAGTCTATATACATAGCTATAACCAATAAATGAATATAGCCTTAATTTCTTTTCAATAAATGGTCAACACTTCAGGCAAAGCGTAATGTAGTCAAGAAAATAAACAACATTTCATCAAAGTATTCCACGGTTTAGTGTGCCTCATCTGGTGATGATTATCCAGTCCTAAATCTTAAAGAGGAAATATCATTTTTCTGTGTGAACATTGGTACATACCTGTAAATATTGATTACTATTAGACATTGATCTTTCACTTCCTATTTCTGTTACATTTAACGGTAGATGATGTCTCTTTCCTCTTCCGTCTAAAATCAAATATTTCTATCATTATAAGCATATCTAAATTTTCTTTTACGATTTTATGTACTTTATGTTTTACTAAAAACACCCTAAAATAAAATCTAAATAGTTCTTAGAATCCAAATTTTCATCCTTCTAAAAAAAATTCATTCTATGAAAGACTTACTATTGAACATCTTTTAAAAACAGAAAATGCACTTTCTAATCACAATGTATATAATCATCCTGGAGTGGATACAATAACTCTGAATATTGTTTTTAAATTGCTTTATATAACACGTGCAACATTCCATCCCAAAGCCGTATTTTATTCTTACCTCTAGTGTTTAGTTCCTGTAAATATGGTAGTCGGTCTTGAGAGAGATTTTGAGGTTCTCGGTTATTCTGTCTCAAATCATCATGTGACACAGCTCTTTTTGTCTTTTTCTTTAAATGTGTTGGTTTTCTACGTAGTTGAAATATTATGTGTCCTGTTAAAATGTTAAGGGGGCCAATTTTAGAAAAACTTACAATGAACTTTACAAAGTTGGTCTTTTTATTTGGGCTATTTTTGCTGGAAAATATCTAACTGCATCGAAAATGTATGACTTTGAAAGTCAATTTACATGCAATGAACTTAAAGAGGCATTATCAATGTCACTAGAAAAAAAATAAATGTAATTAATGGTGAATAATATCAAATTATTATTTAAAATTATGTTCAATACAACTAATGATTGAAAAGCAAAGCATTGAACTACATAAAAAAAAGAGAAAAATTTTTTACGAGCATTGCTTAAAACTACATGAAAATTGCAAATTTAAAAGAATTTGTACAACTGGATTTGGAAGCTAATAGATGTACATCTCAAATTTCAGCATATTCGATTTACCCACATTATGTTGAAGCTAAAAATTATTTTGGGGAACAATGAAGACCTCTAAGAGTGCCATTGTGTCTTTAAAAGTAATAAATAAATGAAGGAAGTACAGCCGTGTGTTGAGAACAAACAATATAATCTTTCATTCTGTATATTATTTAATGAACATCTATCTTTATTATATGCAACTTAACATTATACAGTCACTGATACATACATGATACATGTACTGGTACATCTCAAACACAGTCACTGATACATTCATGATACATGTACTGGTACATCTCAAATAAAAAATCTTGGTATCAAAATTTCAAGAAATAATGACAATTTCAAGAAATATCAACCTTTTTCAAGAAATATCAACCTTTTTCAAGAAATATCAACCTTTTTAAAGAAATATCAGTCATTTCAAGAAATATTGACCACTTCAACACTTCAAGAAATATGGACCACTTCAAGAAATATCAACCATTTCAAGAAATATCGAAAATTAGATACATTCAACATTCCCTCTATCAATCATCTAGTATAAGAACAAGATAATTTCACCCCCATACCTCTATTTTTAGGATGCTGCATAACAATAGCCAAAGGGCATTCTGTGTCATCCAATAACCTTTCTTCTCCGACACTTCCTCCATGATATTCTTGTCCATTAGCTATTAATACCTAAAATAAATACATTGACATTTATAAAACAATCAGTTTTCATTATTATCAACATGGCTTCTAGCGAAAACCAATTCCCTGACTTGAGTTTTATACATCTCAGAATGATCAACCAGCCTCTGTCCAACATAAACAATCTATATATATGTATGCACCTAGACTGACTACAGTTAGTGATCAATTTGGGCCAATTTTGCAAGTTAACATTAAAAAACAAAATTTCAAGTGAAACTAATGAAAATTACCTATAAATGGGTTCTAATAATATTTCTTACTACATGTACCTCTATGAATTACCTAGTCACTTTAATACACTCTCAGGTTATTCTAACATTTTCCTCCAGTTAGAATGAATTTATTATTTGACTTTTATTGCTTGAGGGTATATACATGTACATGTAGCTAAAACAACATGTCATTCTGGTTGTCATATTCACGTTTAACCAATTTTATCTATATTTAAGTGCATGTTATGTGATTCTATGTTTTTATAAGTCTTTGTGTTGGGAGAAGGGAAAAGTGTTTGCAGAGTTTCTGTATTTAGAACAGATAATTTGCAGGATTTTATTTCAATTTGGCTTTGCCATTAATACTTAATAACATGAAATCAGATAATGAGGTGGATCATGTTTAAAACAGAAGCCATACAATGTAGATTATGATCAATAGTAATATCCCATCTGTCAATCAAAATACATCAGCTACATACACAAGTAGATTTATTTAAAGCATTATCATTTTGGTGATCAATAGGTTCAAAATCGTTTCCCAGTATCAGAAATTTTGTTTGACAATCGTGAGCGTAAATATCTTTCCAGGAGATAAAATGTACCGAAATGAATCTAGAGTTGTATGGATAGAAAACTGGTCATGTGGTACACTACATGATTATATGTACATTACATTTTTCTGTAATGTTTTTGATTTTTGAAAAAAAAATGAATTGAAAATGGGGTTTAACCTCCTACTTTTGATTTTTGAGCGTACATGTATATACATGAGTATGTCATCCCATAAGGTAACACAGCAAAGATATCTTGAAATGATTCTGAGTGATTTAGGGGTTATAACCATTTTGAATATAATTGTTTGATATATAAAGAACTCTTCCTGATAGAATGTGATGATGATACATGTAGTTGGTTAGATCTCAAAGATAAGTAACAAGCGGTTGCCATGCAAGATACGCCCACATTTTGCAAGAGATGGACAGAGAAAGAGCTCCAAAAAAGAAGTGATTTTTTCGTACAATCAAGGGCCATAATTCAGGAAGTTATGATCCAATATGTGCGAATATCAACAGGAACCAAGATCTTTGGGTTATAAATATGTATTTCAAGTTTCATCAAAATCGGATCAAAATTGTGACCTCTATAGGGTCCACAACCTTGATATACTATATTTTTACGCTATTTGAGAACGAACGGTGGCCATTTTGTCTGTCAATTTTGGGCCAATTTTCACAAAATTCGAACTTCGTCGTCCTTAGTGTGTAACGGTGACATAATAATACGTTTTTTTAAATCTGATAAAAATTATGACCTATATAGGGTCCACAAGCTAAAAACGCCATTTTTCGTACAATCAGGGACCATAATTCAGAAAGTTAAGGTCCAATATGCGCGAATATCGAATGGAACCGAGATCTTTGGGTTATAAAATTAAATTTCAAGTTTCAACAAAATCGGATAAAAATTGTGACCTCTATAGGGTCCACAACCTTGATATACCATATTTTTACGCTATTTGAAAACGAAAGGCGGGCATTTTTGTCTGTCAATTTTGGGTCGATTTTCACGAAATTCGAACTCAGTCGTCCTTAGGGTGTAACGGTGATATAATAATACGTTTTTTTAAATCGGATAAAAATTATGATCTCTATATGGTCCACAAGCTAAAAACGCGATTTTTCGTACAATCATGGGCCATAATTCAGGAAGTTACGGTACGATATGCGCTAATATCCAAAGGAACCGAGATCTTTGGGTTATAAACTTACATTTCAAGTTTCATTAAAATCGGACAAAAATTGTGACCTCTATAGGGTCCACAAGCTAAAAACGTGATTTTTCGTACAAACAGGGGCCATAATCCATGAAGTTTCGATCCGATACATGCCAATATCGAAAGCAGCCGAGATTATTTTGGGATAAAGCTATATTTCAAGTTTCGTCAAAATCAGACAAGAACTGTGACCTGTAGAGAGACCACAAACAAATTGTGGACGGACGTCCGGACGGACAGGGGCGACGACAATATACGTCCACATGAAAATGTGGGCGTTTAAAAATCATAAAATGTAAAAAAAATTCTAAGGTTACTTGAATACATATATTTAAAGTTTGGCACAAAATCTGCTCTGAACTCAAAGTAGAAGTATTTAGCTTAGAAGTAATGCTGCTTTAAAATACATGATGTTGTTATGGCAGCATAGTAATGAAGCATTAGTAACCTGAAGTCATTCACAATATTTTAGTCAAGTACTTTCAAACATAAAACAATGGAAATTGTGTGTATGCAAAATCAGTCAGACCAAATACATAAGAGCATGTTCCTATGTGATGTGGATATACATGTAGTGTGGTAGAATTTTTTCATTTTATTATTATTCAATAAGGCATATACATACAGTAAGACTTAGCATCTCTATATTTAAACGTTGTCTACATTACCTAGCCATGTTTATTTACCTGATAAGTTGAAGCAGGTTATCTACAACTTACTTCTAGATTTCATGCCTGATATTATCATTGTTACTTTATAACCATTTACATAAAACTGTTGGCAGACGAGGTGAGATTAGCTCTAATAAATTCCTCACACAGTTTTATAGCAGTTAGATTAGCTATTCTCGGTCGTTTCCCATTACAGTGTAAGATTTTGAAAACAATTTAGAAATAGATAGCATCCTAGTTAAGTCCCTTACTCCTGTGACTTAAGATTTTTCACTTTAATCTTTGATTCTACAGTTCTCGAGACCAACTTATATATTAGTCAGATAGCATTATTATAAATCAGTTTTAAAATGTCCTCTAGTCTAACCTAGGCAAGTGTAGCGTTAACAATGACAAAAAGCCAACCAGACAGCCAAGGTCAGTGGTTATAAAGTTAATTACACATGTGTGTATCCTACACATGTGTTCAGCAATTGGGAATGCAATAAAATGTGCAAGCCCTAATCTAAAGAAAGCCTGCAATTTTAAACTGATCAATATAAAAATGAAATGAAATGGGGTTTAATGTCCTATTGTTCTGCTCCGACTAGGCTATAATAAGCCAGCTTGAACAACAAACCCTTCTCAAAGATAGCCTGAAGTTTTTTAAACTGCTCATTTTAGCCATTGTGCTGTTAAAACGGTAAAGTTACACTAAATTAAACGATCCACAGCATTTCAAAACTAGCTTAACTCAGGCATCTGCATAAAATATAAGCTTCATGTACATAAAGTTTCTAAGGGAATCATTACAGTACATTTAATACAATCTTCAGTCAGATCTTGCAGATTCACAAATTATTAACTGAAATAAGTAACTGAAATAATCCATTCAATATCAATACATCTTCAATCTGATTAAAACACAGATCCTATTTCGTTTCGTTTTGTATAGTTCAATATTTTGTTTTACTTATCTTCACTACACTTAATGTAGTGGAGGCCATCCAAAAGTATAAAAAAGACAAAAAGAAATATATATCTGTATTTTGATGAAATTGGTATATCTTAAACAACCAACAATTCTTATTAATCCAAAACTGACTATTGTCATTCATCGATATTATTTTCACCACAGTTTACCATTTCAAACAATAGGTAATGTATATTTAATGCTGGGCATTTCTTCTATAACAAATTACTAGACCAATATTTTGCTATAAGTATTGATTGTGTACTCTCTAGAAGGATGCTATTGTAGTACTTCTATTATACACTAAAGTAAATAATTCAATACTAAACTAACCATCCACAGTTTATTTTATTTACAGTACTTGTAAGACTTTAAGATATTGATTGTTTGTATTATATACAATACTTACCAACAATTTAAGTACCAGGTAGGTGAAAATTGGTAAATAAATATTTTCTTTAATATGCTCAAGTAGTTTGAGGAACAAATAAATTCTCTTTCATATTTAACCTTTCCCAACAGGGCTTGTCACTAAATCATTAACTGTCAATAAAGTCTATACTTTGATGGTTATTTAGTTGTTTACCTGATAGAGACAATACAGTTCAGGATCTTCATTAGGTAAACTGTATTTCTCAAGAGCTTCCTTAACAACCATAGAGCAGGTATCTCCTGTTGACAATAATAGTGTTTTATACGGAACATCGGGTCGTACAGATTCTCCATAGATCTTCAAAGTACCACCTGAAAAAAATATCAACAAAATATCTAGTAAACATTTTAAGCATTTACATGCACATGTATCTTATAAAATGTTATAATCTGTTTTTTTTTCTAACAGGGAATTTCATGGTAATAAATGAAGTAAACAGACATTCACTTTGGTCGGCTGTAATGTACATATTCAAAAGCAAATAGTTCAACCAATAGTATTGGAGTTAACCCAAAAACTAAATGTGAACAGATAGGTTCAGATTAAAATTATGAATAATTTGTGGAATATTTCAATCTCCACATTGGCATCCGTACATCGATGAATCTGTTCAGACATCTAACACAAATCAACAAGCAGGTGACAGTTTAATGATTTGTTGAACTTTATTTGGTAATATGAACAAATTAAAAGGTGTAGATAAATAAGTTGTTGGAGGAAATGTTAATGTTGGTTAGATATATGGTAACACTTGTATGTAATTCTGACAAAACCTGCATATAATCCATTCATTGTATTATAATAATATATCACATAATAAAATATGTACATGTACATGTATTATTGTATTTATATTATGCATATTGAATAGACTATGCTGTTCAGATGCATTGATATGTAACTAAATAGTACCCATGAATTTGACAATGACATAAAAATAGTGTCTAATGGAATGTTCAAGACAGGCCCATACTGTTTTTTTATTACTAAGGTCAAAAGTTGTAACATAGATATAATCTTACTCGAAAAAGACAAGAAAAACAAATGTCTGGTAGACTTCAACATGATAACACAGTGTTATTGTTATCAATGGTATTATATACATTAAGACAAGGGGCTGGCAATAATCCAATCATTGACTTACTATACAGGTACAGTATTCAATACATGTATACCCCATCACTTAGTATCTATATAACAATATTTATTGTTTATCTACTGTTCAGATTAGACTAAGACCTCACACTCTATACACGTTTTACATATGGTAATGTTTCTACCATTCTGTGAATAAAGTGTGTACTATCCATCTTGTTTTTTTAATCGATCTAAAGTATACATCGTCCATTTTTTATATACAATAAACTTTAAGGGTGCCTTGTGTGTAGTAAAGAAGACAATAACCAGAAAACAGACCTACAAACTGGCATCCAGACATACACCTGGTTTAGAATAGCAGTCATAGTGTGCTTATTAAACTTACTTTAAGGCTTAAACACAAATACAAAGCATGATCAATTCTTATTAAGAATACAATAACAAACAAGATATGTAAATTTGAAATCAACTTATGAAAAACAATTAAGTAAAACAAAAGCTTTTTTATATTAGAAAGAAACATGCCGAATAAAAAACCTACATGTATTTTAAGTGTGTTTTGCGGCAACTTAACTCTTATCAAATATGTACATTTAGTGCAGCGACTGTGAGAACGATTTTACAGGTTTTAGATGTGATGAGGTACTAGATGGTGTTATTAGTATAACAGGTAAAGCTAACTGATAGATTAACACCCTACATTACATACACTACATGTAGATAAATTATTACTATGTTGACAAATAGGTACACTTATTACCTGATTCATGTATATGAATAACATACTTTAAATACTGGTATCATATATATAGTACATGGGTTACACACTTACTTTATCAGCTTAGAATTTTTTGAATTTTCATATTTTTCAGTATACATATTTGACATTTAGTTATTATGTACATTTATATTTCTTTCCAATCTCCTTGTAAAATCTGACTTTAAATATGGTATTTCAATAAAATGCTTTCAGCTATAAAACAAGACTGGTGCTGTGAATCTCTACCCAGGGAATTTGTATACACACAATTTTGGCTAATATACATGTACTGTACATGTCTACAGCATGATGGAGACTATATTTTGAAAGCTAACAAACATGATGATAGTGATTTGGTTTATTTTCTTAAATAATACTTAGAGATATATCAGGATTGCAAATTTCTTTTATAAAACACATGTGTGCGATCAAAATAAAAACCTAAAATATTAGCATATGCAAAATATCTTAAGTTTCAAAGGATGATACATTTGGTGTTCCTCCACAAGTGTAAATACATTTTTTTTTATAATGGAATTTCTCAGGTTATCAAACAATTTGTCTTTTTTAAGTGCTACATGTATGGTAGGGGGGTAGATTTTAGTTTGTATTGTTCAAGTGATGGCGCTGTTTTCTATCAGGAAAGGTCAAGATAATGCTAGCTGAAGTAGTAAGGGTCAGCTTTATCTTGGGTTCTTGTGTATACATTGGTGGCACATAAAGTACAATGTTCTGATGGATTTTATCAGCAACATGTGCAGATAAACATTGAGAGCATTTCATACTGGTCCCAACACACCACAACGGTCATTTTCATAAATTCCAATACTCTTTGTTATGTTGAATGAAGATCTTTGGTCAGACGGTTTTGATGGGATGAAATATCGTATTTCAAGTCATCGTACCATTTGACTTTAGCTGATCATTTAAATTTGGGACAGTAACTTTTAAAGTATAATTCAATAGTTCAAAATATAACATATTTATAAGATTATCATTTCATAGAAAATAAATAAATAAATGATGTTGATTTTTAGATTTATGTATTTTTAATTCATTGGATTTTATTTATTTAAGATCAAAGTAAAATCAATCTACATACTTTCGCAAAACTCTGATATAAAAATAAATAAGCTTTTCATAAATTTTTTTTAAAATAGTAACGGTACATGTAACACACAACTGAATTAAAGTTTAGTGACTATAATTTTAAAATCAAGCTAATAAGGGTAAATATATATATCATCACATAACAAATAAAGAATGTAAATATTTCTACAAGTTTTATGGTGATATTCATGTCTGTTTATCTAATTTGTTTGCCATTTGTATTTGTTGACAAACATGAGTTGTTGAAATTCTCTGTCTGATGGGGACATGTGTTTAAAGATTTAAATCTGAGCCAATTAGAAAACTTTTATAGTTTCTAAGTCAAGCGTATATCAGTCAACAGTACACCTACATAGTCTACTGGGGCCAATTAGGAGAGTGTTTATACCATCTATTGGATGTGACATTATGGGTGCTGTATCTCATGAAAACAATTAGTCTGATAAAGTATTGTGTTAAGGGTCAGGGAAGAAGAATGTGAGCTATTTAAGTGAGCTGGAAAGAGAATTGTAAATGAGAAAATTGAAGGTACATGTAGCCTGTAATCTACGTTGTAACTGTAGAAATAAGCCAAACAAAACCTGGGGATGGTTATAAATCATAGGCGACATACATTGTAAACCAGCACTTGACTTATCATTATCTGCCCCCCCCACCCCACCCCTGTTTTTCTTTCCAATCCTTCTACAAAATCTTTAATTTTACATATTCATATTATTTCATCACATTTACTTGATCTTTAAAATATTGAAATTCGAACAATACTCAGGGTCACATTTAGATATCTAAGTGGTAAGGGAAAGTAAACTCATTTACATGCAGAAGAGGGGAAAATATAATAGGACACCTATTGAAATTGTCACTATCCACTCCTAACAAACACACTAACTCTTAAAATATCTATCTACTTTGTATATAGGTCACATTTACACTTAACATTGGCGTGGTTTTCAAGCCAGGACCTAATAGATGTCTTTACAAACACTGCATACTTCTCTCACTATAGGTGTACATATAATTACATTTTTTTTACACTTTCTTAGACCGAAAAAGCATTTGTTCACAAATGTCAGCCAATATCACTTACTCTAACAACATTTACTTGAAAGTAACTTCAGCTAGCAGGTTATAAAGTAGACAAAACATTTTCAAAATGCTCTCTAACCTAAAATCTCTAACTTCTACATGTACATGCAATCAATCAAATCTGTTTAGTGAGATAAGTATTTAACCACGTGTAGGCTACATAACAAGTCAATGAATCTCCACAAATTATACAGCATGTCACCATTCCTGAATATCCTGACAGTCCACAAACTTGGGCTGCATTCATATTGTTTTTACCGCATAAAATTATTGGAAGTTAATAGATTTGGATCAACGATTGGGTCACCACAAACAGATTTTGAGTAATTACACAGAATGGTTTAATCTATTTGATGATGTAATAATTTAAAAAAAGGATGTGTCGCAAGATCGCTGCGTTTCCTACAAGTTTCTGCCTCGACTTTCAAACCAAGATTCTACATGTACCCTTACCAATAACCCCAAGTACATGTACATGTACCTGCATTCATAGTCAACTTCAAATACTAATCTCAATATTAACACAGCCTACATCATGTACATGTCGGTTGGATTAGATTTTAGATAGTCGATTAAGACTGATGAGTTGACTGTTAATTAATTTGAATCAAATTAAAATGCAGATTTATCTGTCACCTATAGCCCAACACACAAAATGATCTGCTGTATTGATATCAACAAATTCTGATTATATGCAATAATGCAGGTATTTAAATCTATAATTAAATGTCAAATCTTTACAGGTTCTTTTTCCCTGTTATTAAATGTAATATGATCTAAATTTTACTGCCCACCCTGTGATAACATCATGAGTATTATTTACTTAAGTTTTAAAATCTATTACCCATAATCTATCAATATTTAAACGTCAATCCTACATGTACTACAAAAAATGTAAATCTATTTTTATCACATCAAACGACGTAACATGAGATAGGGAAAAGGGAAACAGGTAGTATATATTTGATGATAATAGTTTATATCTATAAGATTGTTTATGTATATATTAATAAGTTTCCGGTCTACAGGTGCTACATGTAGTATATACAGTACACAAATCAGTCTGTGTTAGTCTAAATCATACATCTAATGTACACATACACATTCTTGTCAAATTCCTTTCATCAACAAATATATCACCACTGTTTTGGCAAATGTTTAACTTAAATTTGTGTGACTATGCCATTTGTGTTCTAAGAATTATATACATGTACGGCACTTTCACTTGTAATAAACTATACAAACTATTTCCACCATTCTAAATTTAAGTAAACTCTCTATAACGGATAGGAGAGTTGTTTTTTTAAATGATGTACATGTATGCATTTTGAAGAAAGATATCTACAAAATCCATAGAAATTTATAAATCAGTAAATTAACATGTGGGAGTAACCTGTGCTAATTTCTTGTTCCTTTTTAGGACCTAGTTTTTTCTTGCCATGTTAATGATTATGAAGGAGGGTCCCTAATCCCTGTTCCAAGGCTCTGCTTATTTGAATTATCTGGACAGTGTACATATACATTTGCATGAACAAATATCTTTGTCTCTTGTCTGCAAAAGCACAATTTTGGGGAATATTACCCAACAATTCTTTGATTGGCAAGTATAGTTATGGCATTCAGAGATCTATATATAAGCTAGTGTTAAAACACCTGCATTTTTTTTTTAGACCAGAAGAGCATAACTTACAGACAGCCAAGATAAGACAGTTTTGTAAAGAGCAATCCAACTGATTTATTTGCCACACCTTTGAGTTCACATGACGTTTGAGCTGACTTAATGATGACTGGGTTTTTAAACCAGCTGAACTTAGGTGTCTTCAATCCAAGTGTTAGCCTAGTTTCCCCTTTTCAGTGGTACAAGGTGGGTGTTAGCAGCATGCATGTAAAAGAACCCTTGATACAAATGTAGTTAGAATTTGATAAAAGAATAGACAGAAACATTGATGTCCAGGTAAAATTTCCTTCATAGCACACTATCCATCTTCATTAGCCCATTCGGTGCCGAAAATAGAGTGGTAAACCCCACTATGTTTTATTTTCTATCCTATTTTATTCTATTCATTGTTATCTGGTATGTAAACACCTCTTCATTCTCCATACACTGACTTCTCAGTATGAAGCTAAAAGGTTTATTTTTGATTTTACATGTATAATACAATGTTGATGAAAATATGTCATAAATAAATCTGTCAGATGAAATAAACCTGACAGTAGATGATTAGAAATGTTATCATATTCCATATAGAATTTATAATATAACAGAATATAATGTTGTAGACCTTGATCTAAGCCTCTCAGATAAACATAACCCTTTAGCATTTATCTCATTAATTTCAATTATAAGCTTACACAATTGAGGAACAACACTTGTTTAAAGTGTATCTAGGTCAACTGAAAGAGCATCAGTCAGACCCACTGGCAAATGAAAATAATTAAATGAACATGGCTTTACACCTCAACAACCTCAGCTACAAGTGCATAAACATCATACATGAAAGCTTAGAACAAATTATAAGTCTCACCAGGAAAAAAGAAATGTACATACATGTACATGTACGTATGATCAGTTTTGAATAATACCATGTTCAAAATAATCTTATATTCACCTACAGAACGCAAAGTTAAAGATTTAATTTGTATTTAAAGAAGATAAAACTTTTAATTTAAAAGTAATGGTATGGAATTAGTAGCAATGGAACTGGATACTAATAATCTGTAACCCTTTTTAAGACTTTATGATTTAGTGGTCGAAGTAAATCTACTTACATGTTGTTTCAACAGCATCGGATCTTCCTTCCTCAGCTCGCATTTGTTCCATCTTCTTTTCCAATTTCTGTTGTCGTCGACGACGCATGACAGCTTCGGGATTAGAAATACTCCTGGTAAAGCTATTTTCAGGTAAATCATTGTATAATTTTTCCGCCACTCCAGTTCCAGTGGCTTTTGCTTCTTTTTTCTCTTTTTCCCGCTTTTTCTTCAATTCTTTCTTTTCCCTTTTAGAGAGATTTCTCTTAAATCCTTGGGGTTCTCTTTCAACTTCCTGCCCTTGCTGTAACACAAATCAAGATGAAATTCAAGCACAATTTAACATAATCAAGACCTACATGTACATTTACAATTCTGTCTGAACTTTTATCACCGTGACGGCTAAATATGTATGTGAAAATTCTGATATTTGTAAAAATTTGCATTAATATATACATGTATTACCAAAATCAAAGACATACACATACATGTACATATACGATGGAAAAATCCCCCCCCCCCCACAAGCCAATTTTAGCCTTCAAACAAATGGAGAACATTTTCTACCTCTAGCACCATCCATACAACTTGGAAAATTTGCCAAATATATTAGAATTTAGAGTTTTTGCAATGAATATTATATAGATATCTACCCACACAAAATCAGTATGGTTGGCAATTTGATTTATCTTTAATAGTTTGGAAATCACTTTGCCCTTTAACTCAAACTTTAAATAATCAATATTATGGTATACAAAGTCTGAACTAACTGAACCATGACATCATCCAGCTTAGCGTAAACTTTAGATGAAATGTTGGACACGGTTCATTGCTCTAAGTAAGCATTACAACTACTCATATTTGACATACTTTTAATCATCATTGATTAAGTACAATTGGCCCCCAGGTCCTTCCTACATGTTTATATATAGATAAATCCTAATACACATAATGCTCGTATAAATAATTGATCAAGGTTTGGTATAAGAATCGTTCATTAAGGTGGTACCACCCATACATGACTAAGTAAATATGACTGTTTGAAAATAAAATAACCTTTACTTATACATGTATATACAATACAGATACATGTACATGTACATATCAATGTGTATTGTTAAAGTTAGGTTGTATTTGCAATAAAGTTATTCATTATCATTCATGTAAACTTCAATAACTATTAATATCTTCAACTCCTTTCATTTCATCCCTCCATATTGTAATATACATGTACAGTGTAAAGTCTTCAATTCGCACCCCTGTATGCATACATGCCTACATTTCTTTAGCAAATGACATGCACTCAAACAATAATACACGTAAACAATACAGTTGACAAAGGTTAACAGTCTTATGTTTTTTACAATTTACATTCCCCCAATATAATCAGAACATCAGTAGATGATTGGTCAAGAACCATAATTAAAGGAAGCTCAGTGTAACCGTTCAAATCTTTGTTGTTCTGATTCTTATGTACATGTAGTCATGTACATGGAGCAGTTTTTTTTAAAGGATTCGATCTTCTTCTTTTGTACTGTTGAAGATTCTACATGAAGATTTAAACATAACCATTGATGTCTGTTGTAAATATAATTTTAATGTACAATCAGGACTACAGTGCAAGTATACATTTCAGACACCATACATGTATTAAATTTTAGAAAAGAACAATTCTGTAGTGTAAGAATATATTTATTGATTCAGTCACTATCTAGTCAGTATTTAAAACTTATGTAAGTACATTTTCGGTTTACCACAAAAATTAATGTATATACATGTAAGACATATATTATGAAGAAGGCAGAAGAAATGTATATGTATATACATGTAAGACATATATTATGAAGAAGGCAGAAGAAACTTAATTGAATATAAAACCTCACAAGTAGAAGGACATTGTAAATATCTACATGTATGAATAGGTAAATAGCATTATCGGTACATGTACTTTGTGTAACAGATAATTACATGTATATACATGTACATGTACTACATGCAGCAAGATGGTATTCTTTAGGAATGTATATGCATGTACAGTAATGTCATGATAAGACTACACTACTCAAAACCTTCTTCACACATTTCTAATGTTAAAAAAATTCAAGAACAAAAAATACCAAGGCTGTTTAGTAGAAGGATAGAAGTAAATGCCTATAATCATAGTGAGGAATGTTACAGTATGTAGTTTTTACAATCTGTGTTAAACTATGTAACTAGTCTACTCAGGTAGGAGAAATAAACAGTTACTATCTAATAATAGAAACACTAGTTCAGGTTAACGAAATCTGAACACATTCACACATCTTCAACAAAAATTGATCAAATAAATTTTCAAAATTTGACCTTTCATGGGAACACAAAATGTCAATCTCAGACAGATAGAAGATATCAAGCTGAGGAATTCATCTCAAGAAATGTCAAATCAACATTTATGCATACCTTAATGTGTTTGTACATTTAATTCTATAAAGCTACATGCACATTTGTACAAGCAACTACATGTATATGTACTTGCTATGGTACCATATATATACCGAATCAAAGAAATGTGTTTACACTGTATACAGCATATGGCCAAATATACACCATTTCTTGAAATGACCCCATTTGTGAATTCTTAAAGGAGAAATCTCAGGTATATTTAAGGGAATGAAACTGTTTACTTCTGTGTGGAAGGCTCTTAGAACGTTTTAGTCTAGTCCCAAGCAACTATCCAATATTCTGTCAAGTGTTTTGGAAAGAATACCAACACATCAAATGGCATAACATAATTTCCAGATGTACTGAACTGAAAATGTCAAAGATAATGGGTTAAATTCATTTTCTTACCCGAATTGTTGGTTCATTTTCATTTTTTAATAGAAATCGCCCCTCACGCACATCTTTACCCCAATTTAACTGGACAAATAGAGGCTTTTCTTCATCCATTAACCGTCTTTCCTCTACAAAAAAAAAACAACAAAAAACGTTCAGCATCAAAATACATTTTTGTCAATGACTCAAAATTGGTGAACAGTGTTTTGGTGATCATTTCAAAACGACTCATATACGGTAAATAAGATACATGTACATGTACAGGTACTTGTATTACTTCACATTTTGGTGTTCGATTTGCGTAAAAGAATGGGGGCTGGTTTTTTTTATGCTGTGAGCTTTTAAACCAAAAAGAATTGAAGATTATTAAGAACTACATGTAGTGATATTACCTACATGGTTTGTTTAAAAATTATAGGGATGTTTGGTTCTAAAAAGGAACTACATGTACACTGTATAAATCAATGGATGTTTAAAAAAAAATGCACACATTTTAGAACATGTCAAATCATCATGTTATTTTTTTTTTTTTTTGGGGGGGGGGGGCATGTAAATATAAAGGCCTGTATCATATACATGTATATCAGTATGTGGTTTCTATATCATTATATTACTGTAGGCCTACTCATGTAAAATACATTTCAACTGGTTGTTTATTGCAGATAAACTTCCGTTAGTAAATAATTCAATTACCATGAAAGGGTACAGAGATCATAATATTAAGCTAAACACAATCTTGTTTTGCTATTGACATATCACTTCCTCTCTTCATTGTTATGGTAATAAATTAATACCAGGTACAAAAATAATATTCCGGAGTAATAATATAGTATTCACTCGTACATGACTATAGCCATTTTTCCCTTAATCCATGAATATGCAACAATATTTTGAACAAATACTGACATGGGCATAGTCAGCAGGAGGTTGAGAGTGGTGGGGTGGGGGTTAATCAAAAGAGTTCTTAGATGAGATTACATGTATTGTCAGGTAAAGGTACATTTATACATGTAGGTGTATTATTTTCACTCAATATTTATCAATAAACTCCCCCAAAACTTATACAGCCCCTCCTAATCATGTAGGGGTTTCCACCCCTATGAGTACAGACAGACCAAACTGTCTATACAATGTAAGTCTTTGTACATGTATGAGATTTTCAATGAATGAAGACTCAAAATACACAATATATTATAAAACATCTGCATGTAAAAATTAAAAAACATGTAGTGTAGCTAAAAACATCTACATAACTGTAATTGTACATGTTGCTAGGATTTTGCTAAAAACAAATGAGGTTGGGGGATTGTACAAGAAACATTGTACTGAATCTACATGTATGTCATACTGAAACAATTTTGTAATCAATCCATGGACATCTCATACCACCAATCTGAATTAACATTTATACTAATCATACTACTTCATTATAATTTCATCTGTCAATAGTCTGCATACATGTACTTGTACATTTAGTACATTTGTAGGCCTACTGTTCGATATTAAAGCCCATTTAATAGCAGTTACATTGCATAAAATAATGAACAGGATGTTATGAAGGGTGGAGGTGGGGGGGGGGGGGGGGGTTCTGGTTCTCCATATATTATATATATATTTGGAAAAGGGTCATTCAACTTCAAGTACATGAAGAACATGTGTTTTGAAATCGGAGATCAAAATTTTGGATATTATAATAAAGCTCTGATATGTTACAAAGGCTTGAATATTAGATAGTCAAAAATCAATCACTGATCTAATTAATTAGAGAAAGGTCTTTTGAACTGGCATTCATTAAACTCCTTTAAATCATTAACTAAATGTTAAAACATCAACATCTACATACATGTAAGTGACGGACTAACAGATTTGTCTCCAAATTTGTTATTATACAAACTAATATGAACATGTTGTTATACGATGTACATGTATAGTCAAATCACTAATACTTCTTTAAACTACAACGATCTTAGATATGTGCACAGTGCAACTGCAAACAGTTGTGTTCTCAATTTTCAATGTCTTTTGGTGGTTACGAAATGTCTAAGAATTTTGAGTAAGAAATACATGTATACACTGTACATGTATGTTTTCAGTACGAAGGTGATTGACTATGAACTTGACTCGGAGTGCAATTTTTGTCTTACGAGGTGTCGTACACTTTGTGAATTAGTTCATCAACTTTTTACACTTGTAGCATCCAATTACCGGTATATAAATATAACAACAATAGTCACTACCCTCTATTCGAAATCACATCAGACAACTTATGATCTCTCATTAATGAAGTCTGAGTAATCAGGAAATCCATGTATTGTCTATAAACGTTTCGTTTACACTTATGAACTCAAGTATTCCAGAAATATTGTATACAGACCATGAACTTTTTCTTCTCACTACATGTACATCTAGGTAATTTTTGAGAAAAGGGTTGTTATTTTACAACAATTTGACTACCAGCACAAGAATTAATGTTTAATGTTTAAATTGGATCAAATTCTTTCTTAATGCTGTTTCAATATAACTAATATAAAGGCTTACAGTATGCAATTGAAAAAAATATATAAAAAGCTTCATACATGTATGTCATTAAAAAAAATATATATAAAGCTTGATAGAGCTAAATATCAGTAATGATTATACTGGTTAACGTTAAGAGTTTGACCCAGTTACTGGAGATCATGGGTGGATTTGGGACATGTATGGCCTTAGAATGGTGCGCCTAAGCCATGCAGATTTATTTTTCCCTCGAACATCTCTGCCAACCCACAGCCTTTGCCTTACCTACATGTATGCATGCATACGTCTAATCCACCGAAGAATACAGTATTATCCAACAATGAACTTACCTCCATTTACGTGAACTTCGTATAAAGCATATCGATTTTGTGTCAACATTCTCATATCGGGACGGAATTTCTCTATCAAGACATCTATCACCTCTTTTGTGGTAGCTGTACTTGATACACGAATACATTTTGTTACCACATGTGCACCACCACCTTGGAAGAAAAATCGTACTACTCCATGGAACTCTAAAGCCTGAAATGAGGACATGTACAGTATGACTTTTTCAATTAAATATACACGTTTTGTACAAGTATGGTACATTACAGCCTGAAATGACTTTAATTAAATATCATTAATTATACATGTATTGTACAAGTATGGTACATTACAGCCTGAAATGACTTTAATTAAATATCATTAATTATACATGTATTGTACAAGTACATTGTATGTTACAGCCTAAAATGAGAACATGTACAGTATGACTTTGAATTTAACTGAAAAACATGTATTGTAAAGGTAAATATTCAGTTGTGTAACCTGCTGTTGTCAGCAGATTACTTGTACATGTAGGCCTATGTACATGTACAGCTGGTACCGCAAAATGAAAACATGTTATGCTTACCAATCTTTTTTTTAAAAAAATAGAATGAAACAATGATATACATGTATATGTACCTGTTACTATAATAAGATTGGGCAGGAAATCAAAAATTTGTTTCATATGTTTTGATTTTGATAAAACTATGTCAAATTTACTTACAAATGAATTTACCATTGTTAAATTAGATCCGTCCAGGAAGTTAGGAATAATTGGTCATCCCTTGGCCAATGATTTGTGAAAGGGTAGAAAAGATGTCTGGATATAATGTACATGTACAAGGCTGCTGTCATAACCATAGGCGTATACATTTTGATCCAGGGTGTCTATTTCTCAAACGCAAACTGCAGTTCCAGAAAATTTGATCCGCTAGGCACTACTTGTCAATCGATCAGTTACTGGTAAATTTATGTGGGTTAATTTCTGGGGCACTGCCGACGTATTTTTGGGGCAAAAATTATACAGCCCCAACCCCAAGGAAAATTGGCCTGTACACCTATGGCTGTAACAATAGCATATTTAAAGAGTAGTGAAGAAAATAAGACCTGTAAATTGTGGGGATACTTTAGTACATTTAATGATTTGATACGCCATAACTACAGCATATTTAAAGAGTAGTGAAGAAACTAAGACCTGTAAAATGTTGGGATACTTTAGTACATGTAATGTTTTGATATTTGTATAACTTATGTAAGATAAACAGTATATCTCATTTTACAATCCACAAGTTTAAACATTGTGTATTACTATTATAAAACATGGGTTATTACATGTATGTTTACTAATTGGACTGTTGCATGTATTAATTGCAAGGTAGAATGTACATGTACCAGTGTATAGACTTATCCCTTGCCTAAAGATCGAGTTTAAGCGATACCTATAATTTTATCAATGCACTCTTATGTGAGAGATAATAACGGTCTTAAACTATACACACCCTTGCCTGTAAATTAAATTTTCTAGGTTTGGGATTAAAGTTATTAAGAGTTTGGTAAACACTCTCAGAAATCTTCCTTTATATTACAGCTTATTACAATGATATACAAGTACTTAATCGGATAAGCTTAAAAATCTGGTTTAGATATATTGCACAGACGTACAATGTATATATTTGAAACTGCAGCTTACTATACTAATATGACATATCTCATGAACTTGATGTTATTTAAGGTATGTCACAATTACCATATTGTTTATGGTACATATGCAACTAGTTAACACTATTTGCATTCCATGGTATTTATTAACCAGAAATAACATATTATGTGTATGATCATGTACCAAAATATGTCAAATGGATATTATATTTCTGTTCATAAAATACTGTCAATGTAGGCCACCATCTTCACACAACAAGTGAATCATAGAAGAATTCTCTTGAACCGATCATCATGAGGTCATTATTTACCTGTCACGCTGGTATTTTAATCAATAAGGTGTGTTATACAGGTAGCTGTGACCGTTTTAAAAAGGGTTCAACATCAATGAACGATCAAATTCTAAAACCCCTAAAATAATTTTACTTCTGCTCTATGGTTTCTGTCTAATTTCAAGGTCGGCCATATTGGTTTGTTGTTGACGCGCACGTAATTGTGTCACCTGGCCAGCTTTTCTGCACAGGTAAATAATGATGATATTGTAAAATATGCAATCGCCATTGAACCTGTGCATTTAGATTTACATAGAAACGCCAAAATATCAAAGATTATTAAATAAATAGTTTGTGTACCTCGTTTGGTTTACTTAGTTCAAATAAATCGTAATGATCAACGTTCCATTGGCTTATAAGTTGACTCAACCTCTGTAAGTCTTCCGACGACGGCTTCACCTGTGTCATTCTGATGGCTGTTATATCCACAGTCTTTGTTTTTTCTTAATATCCAAATTACATTAGAGCCATTTCCGTTCATACGAACAATATAAACTGAATCACATTTGAATATAATTCCGAAAACTAAATACAGTTATAAATACTTCAAACTTCTCTCAGTAGTACAATCCAACGACCTCCCCATCGTAGACTGCCATTGCGCAGGCGCAATAGACCCGATTGATATGCAAACCGGAGAACCCGCACCCTTAAATTTTCCGTTTTACAATGTTGGCAACGAGATTAATCATTGATTTAGACCCTCTTCAGCCATTTAAAAAATAAAAATGACAATCATATAGCGTTGTTTACTTTGTTAAACATTTACAAACGTTCTATTTATTTAAAGATGAATATATCTAATTTCAGCCCTCGGGCTAAATTGATAATACGGAAGTCATGGTGTATGTTACAAGTGACAGAACAGATGAAAGAGGAATTTTCACATCGGCAAATTTATTTATTATTTTTTTTATAAAGAAAGAACTTATAAAGAAAGACGATAATTAGGCTGATATGTTTTGGAATATGATAAAGTACTGGTGACACTGGCTGATATAATTTGCTTACTTTTATGTACTTTTGTATAGGGGTTTTATTGGTGTTTTCTGTGAGAAATTTAGCAAGCACCCCCCCCCCCCCCGAGTTAAAATTGACAATTTAAAAAAAAAGGGGGGGGGGGGCTGTATTTTAGATGGATATTAGTTTTATTTCCTGATGCAACGGCTTAGTGCGTTTGATTTTCTAATAATCAGCACTCGAAACATAGATTAGCCAGGAGTTTAAATAATTATTTTACCTAACTGTATAAAAAGAAGTAATAATATACCAATTTACGAAACATCATATATTAATGCCGCGATAAGCCTTTCCAGCCAGACAAATTTGTCGTCATTTAGCAGCCTTTTATATATCATTATACATACATACTAACTGTTGAATGTGCAGTGCCCCCCCCCCCCCCAAAAAAAAAAAAAAAAATATTCTCCCGACAATAGTTCTAAAATACCTATACTGTTTGTAATAGACAGCAGTCAGGGATCATCATGTGGAGTATTGATTTGGGGACGTGGCACCCTGCACCCAGTCTCATATTATTGGTTATGTTCTGACATCTGTCTGCCATATATTTTGTACTGATTTGCCCAATGGCCCACTGTCGTTGGGTCCCTGTCTTGTAAATTGTCACTATGTTCATTGTTCAGAGTTTGCTAGAGAATGATTTCCTGCGCTGGAAAACGCGTTTGCGGCCGTCCCGCAAAAATCGTGAATTATAGTGGCCTTTTTGAGTTTTGAAATTATTTGGTAGGGGGAACCCAAGGGGCATCGGTCAGAAGAAAAAAAACATGATATCAACGATTCCACGTTGGGTGGGTTGGCAGCGGGAAGACCCCCCCCCCCCCCCAAAAAAAAAGAAAGGCTGGCTACGGACCTGTATACGGTACTGAAAAATATTGCTCAAACTGCCACATCGACTTTAAATAACCTTTACATAAAACGGAGGTAAGCGCCTAGTCAATGCAATTACACCCCTTTATGCACCGGACTAATCTGTTACGTGCACTATCAAATCGTACACGTAAACACCGGGTTCACATTCCAGCCGAAAGCAGAGGCTATGTGAAGGGGGCACCTTAATTGCGTCATGGTTTTGCTTTTGCGTTTTGTGACCCTTGAGTTTTTGCGCCCCAGTGAAATTGAAAAAAAAATCTTTTGGTTTCAATGAGGTTTTAAGCGCTATAATCATTGTCATAATGCTCAATCAGTGTCAAACATACCGTGGATCAGATAGGTTTCAAATCAACTGTGTTATGCTCCTCACAGCCCAATATTCTCACAGCCCAATATTTCTCCACCAGCCACAGAACGATGTAATTACTGAAGTGGGGGGGGGGGAGCTTGCGGGATCTTTTTCCCCTCATCCCAAACCATCGGTCCCCACGCCCCTGGCCGAAAACCCCTTTAAGGATAACGTTGCCAATATTATTCCAGACTTCACTGCATATGTCAGCAGTTCAAAATACGTATTTTAGTTTTACAATTTGCAATTTCATTGCTCCACATCACAGTGTTAGAATACAGAATACACGTTTCAATATTACAAAATACAGTATTATAGTTATTTTGCACATTCCACTTCTCCATTCTGTTTTGCATGATAGACAAATGCCTAATAGAGCTAAGCACATTAGAACATACCTTTTATGAGATCTGCGACGAAATATTGAAAAAAGTCCAGACTAGGACGGAAATTAATCCTTTACGCGATCAATCTACAAAGTCAAGATCTGTAGAAGCGGGGTACTCATAATTACAGACCTTAGAAAACGATCAGTGAAATGAAATGAAATGGCGTTTAACGTCCTACTGTTCTAATGAAAACGGACATACGCCATGCAGTGTGCTATATGAGGGAAAATTTGCTCTGACTCTTGTATCCAATCTCAACTGCCAAGGGATCTTTTACATGCACTCTATTAAATGGTGGGGGTGGGGGTATTTAAAGTAAACATACATGAACCTGTCTTAATACGAATTCCAGATATCATGTTAAGTATCACTAAAACGCACGTTCATTTCCCTTTTCAAATACTTTGAAAAATGAAATGAAATGAAACGAAATGAAATGGGGTTTAACGTTCTACTGTTCTGCTCCGATAAGGTTTGTGAAGATGGGCATACGCCATACAGTGTGCTAGCAGCGGCACTATGACCAACTGTCAAGGGATCTTTTACGTGCACGCCAATCTGTACAAGTTCCGACATAGGCGTACGAGCCGGGGAGGAGGGGGGGGGGGGGTCAATCTGACTTTTTGGGAAGACAGGTAAAGTAAAGAAAAACCATATCATCTAGTTGGCAAAATAAAGTTCCCGAAATCTAATACAACACAAATATTACTTTTCTTTTAATTGAATACCACGAATTTGTACTGAATTGACTGTTGATTAAAACATTTTGCCTGGACCCACTCTACTTTGTGTGACATTTTTCGGACATTGATTATTATTTGTGAATGCAGCTCCAACAGTCGAATTGGGTGTTGGAATTTAGGTCGGCATAGAGTGGGATTTCGGTTACAAAGCCATTGGACAACTTTAGAGTTGCTAGAATAGCAGAAAAATGTATTTGCGGTGGTTAAATTTTCAAAATTTTCTTCGGGAGGGCCAGGCCCCCATACCCTGCGATGATTAATTGGACCACATTGAAGTTGCTGTATTCACGGAACGCGTTTAAGGCAGTTAATTTTTCAAAATGTTCTCCCAACGGTCCCGCCTCCGTGGACTGTAAACGATTGATTGGTTGATTGGATTTCGAGTCAGCCTTCTTAATTAGGCTATGCGAGACCACTTTGAAGTTACTGTATTCACGGGGTGGAATAGCAGGAAAACGTGTGTGCGGCCGCCAAATTTTCCAAAATATTCATGCATGGGGAGTCCCTATACGGTAAACTTCGCGCCTCCGTTCTCGCAGAAGACCGGCGCCGCCGTCTGTAACCCGATTTTTTTTCGGGCATTTCAGGTTCTGCCCCCCTCCCCTAACTTTCATCGAGCCCGGTCGCCCATGAGTTCCGATAAACTTTCCCAGCCAATGCATGGACCCAACACACGAACTCCTAGCTAGCGAGCCAACGTCTTACCCACCTAGCTACGTGGCACCCTACTTTTTAAAAAAAGATAAAAAGATTAAAGTTGGCGCCGAGGGGTGGGGGGTATATGAAATAAAAATGTGGGGCTTATCGAAGGCGCATGATTCCACAGAAGTCATGGTCATCCAGCAAATTCCTTATTGCATGCCAGCTTGATTCACCCTTATTGAATGGTAAGCCGATTTATTGTTAGTCTCGGTCACCCAGAACCTCCAAGTCTTCGACAAACGTATTGTATGGGGACTTTGTATGCCAGCTTGATCTCTGCCCCTTCTACTCACCTTGACCTTGTAGATTGATCGCGAAATTATTAATTTCCGTCCTAGTCCGGACTTGTTTCCGTATGCGAATGAGCTTCATCATAATCCCATATAAGGTATATGTTCTAATATGCTAAGTTCTATTATGCATTTGTCTATTATGCAAAATGTAGAATGGAGAAGTGTAATGTGCAATATAACTATTATACTGTATTTTGTATTCTGTATTTTAATACTGTGACATTGGTGTTGTGGAGCAATCCGCTGAGTTGGGAAACCAGAAACCGCCAATCATGGCTGGTTGGTCTTATGAATTTCTTAAATCAGGAACTGGTTGCATACGCTGACTTGGTAATACTCAAAAATCGCTAATTTAGGGGTTAGCCCACCATTAATTCCTTAAGATGGTATCCTAGTACCAACTTCTAGTGGATCATCCCATGTACATCATACTGAAAATCCACCAAGGGGTTCGGAAGTTATCGACATGACATTTACCATTCGAAATGCGACGAATTCCCCGAAAACCCTCACCTTGATGCGGATATCCATGGAGATCATAATCTTCTTTTTGGTGACGCTCTTTAAAAAAGCCCAAAGGCTTAATCAGATATAATTCGAGCATGATCGACACAAATCTTGATCATCGATTAATAGGCTTAATTTTTTTATTTTTAACGTTCTAGTTTTTACTGTAATACATTTTGATGAGACATATTTATACTGCTATAAAGTTAGGGCCAATACGCGAAACTAAATGCAATTAATCTAAGATAATATCATGTTTAAAATAATCTTAAGTTAATTCGAATTAAAATCCACTAACATAAAATCGTTTATATCCCAACATTTGCTTTATTTGCGACGTAACAGGTTGAACGAAGAACGATTTTAATCATCTTAAAAAACTTGTTCTTCTTAGCGCTTAACGTCCGCTTCCACCGAAGGTAATATCGCAGACAAGTTGTCTTAGTCTAACATAGCCGCCTTTATATTAGACCCTATAATTATTATATACGGCTGCCATCTTGGACTCAACTTGGGTCCAAATTACCTCCGATCATTTTGTTATGTTCTTCTCACGAAATAAACCGTAAAACGTCAGTATTTCAGTTCAGGAATGCATTATCTCTCAACTGACTGCGGCTAAAATACTCCACAAAATAACATACTCCCCGCTGTGTTTCGTTTGATTAGAGCTAATCCCACTAAACACTGCTTTAATGGAAGCAAATTTCTGTTCCAAATTATGACTGGTCAATAGTCCGATTATCAACCAATGGCTAAATGCGTAACAATGTCATTACGTTTAAAACAAAGCTCCAAATTGGACCAAATATGTTTACATAACGTTACGTTATGACTCAGGATTTTATTATGCCCAATTAACCAGTGCCTAGCAGAATATTGCAGAAAATCTAATTGCGTGACAAACGAGGCTATCAAGAAGAATACAATGTAAACAATACTGTATGAAGATGAACAATACTTTCACCGTTTTTAATACCTTAAATCAATGTCCAAAGTTTTAGGGAAGATCCCAGATTAAACGAAGGGCTGTCATGGTGCTGTACTTGGGATAGATTTGATTGAACGGGAAGAATTAACACACTCCCTCAAAAGTTCAGGTATCAGAAGCCAATCCAGCAATTGCCAGAGAGGGATTATTCGGGCCATTGCTTCAGGAATATGCAAAATAAGAGATAAAAGCACGCTCGAAAAAAACAATACAATGATGTTTACAAGGCATGTTAATATTAGGGATTCTTCAACTAATTAGTGTTCATAGTCAAGTGCTATTTTTTTAATTAACAAATATGAATTCCACCATAGTTGGCAAATATAAATTGGGACAATGGAAATTCAAGCCCATAGCAATTTTAATGGAAGCGTGACGTCGCGGCGAACAAGGGGATGCAACTATGATTTTAACCCGGATGAAATAACTGGAATCAGACCACCAATGTTTGTTTCATTGAAGTGGCTATTCGACCAGCTGAGCTGTAACATATTTTCAAACTTTTTCTCTATGTAATGAACAGACTGTTACATAGTTATGAAAGGTCGACAGGGGCATTCTAACTTCCAAGTTCCGGCTTCCAACTTTCATGTTCTGACTTCCAACTTCCAAACATAATAGTGGCCAAGCGAATATTTACGGTGGATCCAGTTTTGAAAATCAAGTCTAGCCATTCTAACGGCATAAACGCAGCGCGGAGGCTCAAAGGGATATATCTCTTCTAAAATATTTTGGTGCAGCCCATAACTTATTTCCCCATTGACTTTGCCCAGCTCCAATTTCCCCCAAAATTTTCGTTGGGCAACAGATAGGGCAACACTTGACCATGCCTTTGCTTCAAATTTTGAATAGGATTGACGACTGAGATACTAAAACGTGTAACTACCCACCATACATATCAATGTAACCAGCCTGTAATTTCTGTAATTCTGTTATCCTTCCACCTAAAACCATGAATATTTACCACAACCTGGCAGAAAATGTTAAATCAAACCCTCTTCTTCGGTTCTCAGAGAGAGAGAGAGAGAGAGAGAGAGAGAGAGAGAGAGAGAGAGAGAGACGAAATACAATTTAATTGTGGCATGCCTCCACACTTGAGATCATTAGACACGATTCTTATTAGATCCCGAAAATTCAAGCAACTGTAAACTTTCGCCGGATACTTTTGTTTACATATAATGTGATATGGGATCCCCCTTTCCACTTACCACCAGCGGTAACGCCTAAAGTGCCGACACTGACAAGAGGCGAAAACAGACCTAGTCTGAATCAGGGTTCGTTTTAATACAGCTTCTTCTAATTTATTAACTATGAAAATACAACGTATGAAGTTGGAACTCCAAAACAAAACAAAATACCAGGACTCTACAGGAATCTAGATTTGAATATTTATCAATCAGGCACCACCTCTGTAGACGCCCAAATATACTAAGCAGCAAAAGAAACGTCAGGTTTGTATGTTACTCTGAATAGACGCATTCATAAAATTTGCCAAATGTTTTATTGTATATCTGTGACCACATCTCCAACTTTACCTGAACAATAAGGCTCCTTCTCAAACATAGAATTGAACCCAGGAAATGTTCTCAAAAATGCAACCTGACTTCTGAGATGGTAATGGGTGCTCCATGATTTTCATGTAACTCATAAATGCACCCCCATACCTGGTTGAATCATTCACACTACAACGTCAGCAGCATACCACGACTCACGACAGCTCAGAGGAACCAGGCGTCTGGAAGACTCGACGATGGTCTCACTGCTCAAGCCGTTGCCAATCACTTCCAGTTCAATGTTCGGACCATCTACAGGCTTCAGCAACGCTTTCGGGCCACCAACACAACGGATGATCGCCCTAGAACTGGTAGACCAAGGGTTAGCACAAGGCGACAAGTCTGCCATGTTGTGCGACAGCACGTGCAGAATCACTTCACACAGGCGTCTGAGACAGCACGTCAGACAGTGGGAATACACGAAAAACCCATCAGTACCGATACAGTGCGCCGACGTCTCACCAGAGAGAACATCCATTGCCGTAGACCTTACCTTGGACCGATCCTCACCCCTCGCCATCGACGTGAACGTCTACAGTTTGCCCAACAACACCAGAACTGGTGACACAGGCAATGGAGAACTGTTCTGTTCACAGATGAAAGTCTGCAGATGTGTCATGGAATGAGACACATAGGGAGGTCCAAGCATAATGGTTTGGGGTGGAATCGGCCTGAACCAGAGAGTGGGTCCTGGGGAGTTCCAAAATCTTGGTCCAGGGAGAGGAGACGGCATTACAGCAGTGCGCTACATCGATCAAGCTCTCAGACCCTTAGTCCGGACTTAGTCCGATTGAACATCTTTGTGATGAAATTCAGAGGAGACTTAATAACGTCGTACTGAGACCATGAATTGTGCCAGTTTTTTTCTGAGAGTTTGGTTCCAGGTGCCAATGGAGTTCATCAATCGTCTGTTCCACTTCATGTACAGACGCTGCGCTGCTGTTATTGACACTCGCGGTGGACACACCAGATACTGATGTTTATAGACTGTGTACAGACTTTAAACCTTCTCGTAATGTTTTGGAATTGTGATGAATTAATCATTAATGTGTCAACATAATGTTCACAAAAAAATTGTTTTGATCCATTTAGTAAGTCGTTTTCTAGAATTATTTGATTAAAGTGCCTCTCAGATTTTGAAATCGTACTGACGTTTTTTCTTTTTTTTTTTGCTGTTTAGTATATATGCATTTGGATTATTCAATATTCAGTGGAGGCGCAGAAAGACATGCCGATCTAATACATTCCCCACGAAATACACCATTCATCCGCAACTCTCTTTTAAAAAAAGGTAATTCTTTGTAGCCCGATAAAATATAAATATACAACGAATGAATTCTTTTCTAAGATCTTGTTACATTTTGATGTCTATATAAGCTGCATTATCAAAATCCATTTTCACGCCATCATTGTCCCCATTTCTACTTTCTATATTTCCTTCATGAAATCCATTTCCATAGGTTGTGTCATCCATTGGGAAATTCATTTGTTCTCCTGACTTTGTTTTATTGCTAAAATAGATAAAAATAATAGTACATTATTGAATTTCCAAATGGCATTTTAATTTACAATTGCAACAAATATTGTTTGTTTAGTCAACTTTCCAAAACAAACTGCCTCATGACACCCATCATATAATGTCTATTCCATGAAAGATCAAAAAAGGTAAATGAATAAAAGTAAAGATTTTTGAGTTGAAATCCGGACAGAAAAATAGTGATCAAAAAGAACAAAAATTATTTCATTTAACGAAAATGTATGATATAGTTTCCAGCAATATCTACAAAAAAAGAGAAAATCGTCGATGTAAAAGCGAAAAATCAATTTCAGAAGGATTTTTCCAACTTACGTTTTACAAACAAATAAAAATACAGCAATTACAGCAAAAACACCTACAGCTACACCAACAATCAATTCTGTTTTATGAGAAGACAACCAAGGCTAAAATTTCAAGTAAAGCAAAACGTAGCGTTACTGTTATTGGAAAGTACAACAAAAACTTATTAGCTATGTTAACTCCCCAAATGAAAAGTTAGGGGAGGGGGGAGCATACCATGTCTAATGCACGACATCTTGATCTGAGAAGCTAGCAGGGTTAAAATATACTGTAGGCCTAACACATACTAATTAATGGAAGAACAAATACTAAAGACCCCTGAAGGATAATTATAAATGTTTACCACACACAGGAACTTTAAATTTTGTTCACATCTTTCAAGATATCAATAAAGTTAACAGGCGATAAAATTAATATGTATAGCTTTTAAGTTCCAGGGTGAATTCCAGCACTCAAAATATGAGGATAGATACCAATAATTTAATTGCCTTGAACCTGGTGGACCAAACCCCTGTTGTTAGTATGTCAATTAGAACTAAGCAATTAACATTTTGTGGTCTCTGTGTAAAGACAAGTAGCATAATTCCAGAACGGAAGGTCTACTGCTCACCACAATCATCCAAGATCTTTTGATTTTTAACACATATTTAAAGTTTCATTGAAATCGGATAATCAGTGTGGCCCCTAGACGATCCACGGCATTGTATTACATGTTTTGCCACTATTTGCGTAAAGGGGTGCTTCCATTTTGACGGAAACTTTCGGCCCGATTTTCGAAAAAATCAGATGCAAACGTTACAGGTTATAATTATAAGGCCAGCGTGCCCATTGTTTATAGGATAGTTAACGTATCAACAAACTGGACTTTTACTGAATGATGGCGACATTTCTAGAAAAACTAAAGCAGCATGGGTCCAGACATGAAATGAAATGAAATGGGATTTAACGTCCTACTGTTCTGCTAGGCTAATGAATACGGGCGTACGCCATACAGTGTGCTAAAAGAGGAAATTTTGACCGGGGTGTGGCACTATGGCCTATTCTTACATCGAATTCCAACTGCCAAGGAATATTTTACGTGCACACCAATGTATACACGGGAACTAGGCTTTTCGTCCTATCCGAACGACTAGACAGCTGTCTATGTCAGGACCTCCATCCTACACCACTGACAAGGGGAAACCACGTCGGAAAATCCCGATGAACTTTCTCAGCAAATGCAGGGATCGAACACGCGATGTCCAGACATGAACCTCCAAGACTATCCCAATAGTAGTGCCTGGCTCGTCTACATCTTCATCAAAACACACACCACCACGCACACACCCAATCTGGAAAATCCCGAAGAACTTTCTCGGCCTCCGCTATAGTATCGAAGCCCAGAACTTCGAGTTGGTGAGCCGGCACCTTACTCACAGAACCACCGTGGTTCCCGCTGTTCGACAAAGACATGTATTGGGTTTCATTCGTTTCTAATGATTTCTCACCATACCTTCAGGTGACTTATACATAAAGTAATAATAAGCATGTTATCTTTTCCATCCAAGCTGTTCTCGGACGTACTTAATTCCACAATTCTTTGCATCAAATCATACATATTGGTCTTTAGTTTTCATATGTATATAACAATCTGGACGCACGTAACTAACGTACGAAAATTAAATGGTAACTAGCTTCTGCAGGTAGGGTGGGTCTGCCGTTCAGATTGCAATCTGGATTGTGCCCTTAATACATCCCTTTTTTTACAGAAGATTACCTCAGCTGTAGTAGTTTGTAATTCTCCAGTATAAACCCTATAAGGCAGCGCTTCGGGTACTCCTTTCTTCAATTTTTCACGAAGTTCAGTCACACCTCCACTGTTATTGGTTGATACTTTAATTATAACCTCAGTTAATTGTTCTCTGACAAAAGAAAAAATATTAAATACATGTATACGCCGAATTGAAATAAATGAAATTCCAGTTTAACGCCACTTTGTCATTTGTTAGGCACACTGAAATCAAACGTTTATCTTAATCTTAAGGTGTGCGATGTATGCCACGTGTGTAAATAATTTGCAGGGAAATCTCACGGTTGAGCCCAAAACGTAACCTATCTGTCTGTACTTTCGGGCCCCTTCGGTTAAGTAGAAGAATGAAATCAGGTAGAGATTGGCAGGCCACACGTTGTTTATCAAACTGATCACCAGTAAATATTCGCTTGGTCGCCAATATAACTGATAGGGATGACATCCAGTAAAGTTAATCAGCTCTCAATTTTGACTTTTTTCTTCTGGTGTTTGAAGCATATCTGGATAAAAATGATTTCCTATTTAGTGTGAATGGGTAAATAGCTCGCGGAGGCGTAAAGCGAGTTAAAAGCTCCAATACTGCCCGGACCAGTTTGTCTTTCTACGTCCGATGTAAGCAAAGCACGTGCTATCGACGCCATATACAGTAATGTGGCGTCTCACGGTGGCGTCTTACGTAGAACTAAACTGGGTGTGACTGTAAATGTCAGTCATCTTTTGCCGTGGTTGAAGCTTCCCGCATTATGGCTGTAAAACAATTTGGTTGTTTACTAGAACATGTATTTGCATAGTTAATTTAAGCACAAAAAATACACCAGCGAAGGACAATCTGTAACTAATATACATACATGTATATACTCACCCATTCTTGCCAGTTTGATCACCCAACTTAGTAGAAACAAATGCGTCGACTTGAGAAACCAATTTGGATAGATATGCTTGCAGCTGTGTGATGTTAAACGATGACTTGCTAACCAAAAACTCAATCTTTATTTCAGCAACTGCAAAATAAATTATTGAACACTTTATCGGCTGCGTAAAGTATTGTAACCCATGATAGGCCTACACCTTATATGTAATAAGAATGTTAAAAGAGAGACTATGATGGGCATCAAATACAGTGCTAACAGATAGCGCGTTCATGTATAATCTAAACTTCGTCTTCACTGATATGCGGTGTTCAGAGGTCCGAGGTCAGGAAAAAGGTAAGGACTATTTAGCACGCCATACTCATAGCTCGTGACTGTGACGTATTGGTTGTAACACTTTACTATTTCAATGAAATTTTTACTACTTAAAAGAGTTGATAAAAAATAGAAACATCTTTCAATATACAAGTAAAGTAAATGTTTCGATCGTCAAATAAACACATATTTAAGTTGAATACGAACCCGTTTCAGCAGCTAGTGTTGTTGGCATCGGAATTTTTGCTGACGTTACCAGGTTTTCGGTAAATTCATGCGTTGTGCTACTCATTTGAGGCGAACTATGAACCACATCATTAGTGTATTCACAACTGGTTCCGTTAAATCCTGGGTAACAAATACATTTGGCCACACCAGAGACAATATCACACGTACCATGGTTATTGCATTTCTCTAACTGACAAACATCGTGTTCACATTTTGATCCACTATATCCTTTACTACAGGTACATTTTGCTTTACCAGAAACAACCATACACGATCCATGCTCACTACATTTTTCTGACTGACAGACATTGCTTTCACATTTGAGTCCACTGTATCCGTTGTTGCATCTACATTTCGCTTCACCAGAAACAACTGTACATGTTCCTTTACCGCCGCATTTCTCTGATTGACAGACATTGCTTTCACATTTCGATCCACTGTATCCTATACTACAGTTACATTTTGCTTCACCAGACACAATCATACACGAACCGTGATTATTACAATTCTGTGATTGACAGACATCGTGTTCACATTTTGATCCACTATATCCTTTGTTACAGCTACATTTTGCATTACCAGAAACAACCATACACGATCCATGATCACTACATTTTTCTGACTGACAAACACTTTGTGCACATTTGGATCCACTATAACCCTTAGTGCAGGAACACATGGATCCGTTACTTTTATTTATACAGCTTCCACCATTTAAACAAGGGTTATTTGCGCAGTGGTCAATATTGTCACATTCAGTTCCGGTAAATCCGCTGACACATTGACAAGAGTAATTTGAAGGATGATTCAAACATTTTCCATGATTTTGACATGGTCCACTTTTGCAATAGTCAATGACATCACACGTTTTACCCTTAAATCCACTTGTGCAATCACAGATGAAATCAGATGGCATGTTCCTACAGGTACCGTTATTCACGCACATGTTCTGTGCGCAATAATCATACTGTGAACAGTTCTGTCCAATATAATTGTTATTACACGAACACATGTATCCATCAGATTCAGACGTACAGTTACCATTGTAACAAGGATCACCAAAACAATAATTCCTCTTTTCGCATTTACTGCCAATATAGCCTAGAAAATAATTTATACGATGTAAAAATTTAGCTGTTCTCATGTAATCTTATATCGCCCTATACACAATACTGATAATTCTTTATTCATATAGATCGATTCGAAGAACCTGTTCTCTACTTATTAACAATAAGGGCCAGGAATGGGCTTTAGTTTAGCTGACAATAACTCTAAGTCTTTTACAGATATCGCTGAAATTCAAAAGCCCTTTTTCTCTTACTGATATAGATTAGAAATGTAAAAACTTTATATAAAAGAATAACAGTGACGCGATGACAGGAAGTTAATTTTGACGGATCATTGTCAATGGAATTAATTCTAATATTTGAAGAAAAAAAGCCAGAAAGCGGAATGGCGCAACCGAGTCGTTTTCACGACCTAAATCAAAGTTTTGCCTCTGTTAATGGTTTGGAAATGTTCCCAAAAGTGGTTCTGTCCAGTTTCACCCAGATGAGAATTATGACGTTAAATGAACTGCAGTGCACAAGAGAAGAGTGAACGGGATATTGATGCTCAATCTTCTCTATAGGTGTTAGTACTAGATATAATTGCCTGTAAGTTTTTCATACATTATATACATGTATATATGGATCAAAACAGTAAACCTACCTGGATCACATCTTATTGCACCATTAATGCATGTATAATGGGCACCAACCTCTGGTTTTTGACAGGAATTAAGTCGTAGTAGCAAACTGTAAAAATAAATGTCGTTTTAGATATGTCATATTGTTACAAAAGAAATACATATACAAGTCTAATGGGATGTTGACAATTCGAATTTGATATTCGTTAAGCATTATGCCAGTAGCAAACTGTAAAAAATGTCGTTTTAGATATGTTATATTTTCACCAAAGAAATAAACATACAAATCTAATGGGATGTTGACAAGTCGCATTTGAAATTCGTTAAGCATTATGCCATGGGAATGATGTAACATATTATGTCCTTAGCAAAACAAAAGGCTGAGCCCCATTAATTCTGATCTCTTTGCCTGCACTGTAAAACACTATCCGTATTTTTACAGCTTAATCGTCCAAGATAATGGAAATAATGCTGGTCTGCCACCAGCACACAACAAGAGTTATCCCCCTCGTGTGAATCGATTGCTCTGATGAAAATAATATGGCTGTTCTTCAACAGACTTAACACTCTGTTGTTATTAGATATTGAACTTACCTGGTAGTTCCATTGGTAAGAAAAACAAATAATGTATCTCCATCTTCGTTTATTTCAACCGTCCTTGTTAAACTACTAATAAGTTTACTGGATACAAGATTGTTGTTGTCAGACACTTCTACATGCATGGTAACATTAACCTGAAATCAGTAAATACATATTCAGGCAAAAACCTAATATGTTTTCTTTATGTCCCTGTAAAGCTGTTGGTTAATCCATTTACACTGTATTCCTACACACATTGATAAAACAGTAATGGGTGAGGGTTAATTACTTTAACAATTATTGTGAATACTTCAATTATAAACAACAATAAAGGTTTCTGGAATCATGCAGTTTTTACGGTAATTACGTAAATTGACTCGTATCGTAAATATTGGTCAAATCACCTTACAAATAAATCCTATTTTTATCTTGCAAACTTGAGTGTATGTTACACAGGGTAAGGCCTTCAGAAACCCATATAGAAATCCTTATGATTCATGGTTAACAAGATGTTTATATTGATTAATTATTTAATAGATGATGACAAGTATACTTACAGGTAAATCTGGTAGGTCTATTTCAATATCAGGTACCACAGAATATCCGTCTTCACCAAAATTTATTATGTTTTTGTCTTCATAGGGTTTCGAAGCAGCAGGGCAGTTTCTGGGTGAAAAAAAAAACACATGTCAAGATGGGTAAGTGGAAGTATCAGTGAGCGAATACAAGTATTTGTACTTATTTCCTCCATGTATAGGGGGGGGGGTGTGGATGGCCGAATGGTTAGCACGTGCGCGCTGTATCATAAGGCCTGTCATTGAGTCATCTGGCGTGGTTTCGAATCCCCGGTTGTACGTGACAAGGAGTAAGGTCGCCTGTCCAACCTCGTGGGTTTTCTTCGCCCCCCCCCCCCAGTTTCCTCCCACTGCTAAAGACCTCTACGCGCATGCGAATTATTGAAATAAAATTGAACCATCTGTTAGTCCCGAAATGACCTAGTTTGTGTCGAGTGGACGATAAACCCCATCTCTCTCTCTCTCTCTCTCTCTCTCTCTCTCTCTCTCTCTCTCTCTCTCTTCTCTCTCCATGTATAGTAATGCACACTTTTATGTACAGCAATATTATACACTTCCCAACAAGCTTCATACTCCTCGCAGTGTTTCGTTTGATTAGAACTAATCCCACTACTCACTGCTGTAAACAAAGCAAATTCTTGTTCTAAATTATGACTGGTCAATAGTCCGATTAACAACCAATAGCTAACTGCGTAACAATACCAAACAGAGCTCCAAATTGGACCAAATATGTTTACATAACGTTACGTCATGACTCACGATTTTATTATGCCCAATTAACCAGTGCATAGCAGAATATTGCAGAAAAACTAATTGTGTGACAAACAAGGCTATCAACTGTGAATACGATTTTTACTCTGTGGATATAATGTAAACAATATTGTTTTGAGACGAACAACACTTTCACCGTTTTTAATACCTTAAATCAATGTCCAAAGTTTTAGGGAAGACCCCTGATTAAACGAAGGGCTGTCATTTTGGATAGATTTGATTGAACGGGAAGAATAGACACACTCCCTCAAAATCGCAAGTATCAGAAGCCAATCCAGCAATGGCAAGAGAGGGATTTCTCGGGCCATTGCTTCAGGAATATGAACAAGCTTTGGCCTATATGAATAGTTTGGCTTGGTACCACTTTTAACATCGAAATTCTTGAAACAAGAAAACATTTAATATTCTAACTGATCCGTGATAATGACAAGGTAATAATTGAGGCGAAGTCCAAATTCATTGATAACATACAGATCCATTAACATAAACACACTGTTTTGGGAAACCGAACAGAACTAGAACTGGAATTCCCTAATTTACTGTTCTCAGTTTTGTCCGATTCACGCAAAGGGTTATTGGTACATTTTGATCTTCTTTGTTTATTATATACACATTCCTCGTTTTTAAACCAAACCTAGCACTAGCAGCCTTCACTTACAAGAATCGTTGGGTTTCAATCATATCAACTAAATTACAAATCCAAATATCTGATATACGGAGTAGATGGTCACGACAGTAACGTGAATCTAAATAAAGGGAGTTCTCTATATGATATTCATTATATAGTGTTTCATGCATACTCTGTAATAATTAACCTTGTTAAATTTGTTAAGAAGAAAGAAATGAAAAATAACCTGGCTTGATCAGTTGTGTCCAAACACACCGAAAATAGTGGATCGCATTCACTCGATTTAACGAATAAGAACCCTTTATCACAATCAGGTCTTGGCGCAGCAGTATAATTTATAAACTGTACATTGATTATCCAACTTCTTTTAACCACCTGGAAAAAAGGTTGGCATATGTAAATTACTATGTGGTAAACATTATTAGCTGAAATAACTACATACTTGCAAGTGGCGTGCAGAGGTTTTGTGATGCCCGAGACCAATCCCTTGAATGTCTACCCAGTACTCAGACATTTGAGAATGGCTCATTAAAATTTGTACATACAGACAAAATAAACGTTCAGCAAGTACAACAAAATTAACAGCAATAATTTCAAATTTCATAAAACTTAATTTTAGATTCATTCTTTGATTGTATACTCCCCTGAAATGGATAACCGGGGCCGTCGTCCCATCCACCCTCTCTCTGCACACCACTGATACTTTCATATATTCGTTTAGTATAATGAATTATAGCATATTTACAGTGACCATTTATTTGATGGAATTCTTACAATTTTATCGCACTTTTCTCCATTAAATCCTTTAGAACAACTACACCTTGCTTCACCAGAATCGACAGTACAAGAACCGTGGTTATTGCATGTCTCTGATTGACAAACATCGTGTTCACATTTTGATCCACTATAACCTTTAATGCAGGTACAGTTTGCTGTTCCGGAAACGAGAGTACAAGCTCCGTGATTATTACAATTTTCTGTTTCGCAAACATTATGTTCACATTCTGATCCATTATAACCTATACTACAGCTACATTTTGCTTTACCAGAAACAACCATACACGATCCATGATCACTACATTTTTCTGACTGACAAACATTTTGTGCACATTTGGATCCACTATAACCCTTAATGCAGGAACACATGGATCCGTTACTTTTATTTATACAGCTTCCCCCATTTAAACAAGGGTTATTTGTGCAGTGGTCAATAGTTTCACATTCAGTTCCGGTAAATCCGCTGATACATTGACATGAATAATTTGATGGTTGATTCAAGCATTTTCCACGATTTTGACATGGTCCACTTTTGCAATGGTCAACGACATCACACGTTTTACCCTTAAATCCACTTGTGCAATCGCAGGTGAAATCAGATGGCATGTTCCTACAGGTACCGTTATTCAAGCACATGTTATTTGCGCAATAATCATGCTGTGAACAGTTCTGTCCAATATAATTGTTATTACACGAACACTTGTATCCATCAGATTCAGACGTACAGTTACCATGGTAACAAGGATCACCAAAACAATAATTCCTCTTTTCGCATTTACTGCCAATATACCCTAGAAAATAATGTATACGATGTAAAAATGAGGCGTTCTCATGATTCTCACAATTTCCAATAATTTATTCCAATATTAGATATGTAATATGTAATATGTAATCAACAAGGGTAAACCACGCTTGAAAATCCCTGGGAACTGCCCCCACCAACACAGGGATCCCACCCCCATCGCAATGAAGTCACCCGGGCAGTCTATAATCTGCAAGTTATTCCTAATTTATATATGGAATGCCTTGACCCAGATAATATGACCGACTAACTAAGCCATATATTTATGTTATTAATCAAAATAGTAAACCTACCTGGATCACATCTTATTGCACCATTAATGCATGTATAATGGGCACCAACCTCTGGTTTTGGACAGGAATTAAGTCGTAGTAGCAAACTGTAAACATAATGAATTAATATTACCATGGAAATAGCCTAAAATAACTATTTCTTTAGCAAACGCACCCAAGACTCATAATTAATGGCTAGAGAATTACTACTCCAAATCCGAAAGCAAGAGTTACTCCTATTTGTAGATCGGTCGTGTAGATGGACTGGTAATTGTTTCACCAACGACGCCAACGTTAAATGCATGACATTTCTTAATTTTTACTATTACAAAGAGTCCAACTTCCCATAAACTATTGAAGGCTGCGGGTAGTTGCGCTTTTTAACCGGACCTGGTCAAAGGAAATTATAGGAAGCGACGTTATATTAGGAAGCGATCACCCTCATTCATGTATGTTTACATCCCGATCGACCTTCCACGCCAGAAAACACAAATATTCACCAAAACCTGGCAGACAATGGGCACCGAAACACCTTTCTACAACAACCCCCATGCAATGGGAGAGGGGTGGAGGGGTATGAATATGAACAACATTGCATTCGAGAGATCAGGGTGTGAATGTGTGTGTGTGTGTGTGTGTGGGTGGGGGGGGTAATTACTAGTCGTAGTCCTATCTTAAATACAAGGAACGGAGCATTGATGTACTAAAATACTGAACACACCTGGTAGTCACATCGGTAAGAAGAACAAAAAACGTATCTCCATAATCTTTTATTTCAACCGTCCTTCTTAAACTACTAAGAGGTTTACTGGATACAAGATCGTTGTGGTCAGACACGTCTACATATATGGTAACGTTAACCTGAAATCAGGAAATACATGTTCAGGCAGAAACCTAATATTGTGTCTTTATGTTCCATGTACTTGTAAAGTAATGTGATCGGGTGGCCACTGATTGCTCACCCGTAAAGCTAGTTGTATATGTCCGTGTTTCCATTTGCCACACACAGAAGCATCATATTGTTTCTATAGGTTCATTGTAAAGTAAGGTGATTATTTGACCACCGATCGCTTTACGGTTGAGCTGGTCATAAATCCCATAGAAATCTCCCATTACAATACATCTGTCCCAATCTCTGGCAGAGATTCGAAGAAATAGCTTGTGAAAGTAAACATTTAAATAGTTTGAAGACACATAGCAGAGAGTTCTCCAATCGCGCTGCTTTATATGTAAATGATCTGCAGCCAATGGTCTGTGGCACGCCGGAACAAAAATATAAATAATATTACATAATCTGATGCTGTTAATGCACTGATGAACTATAACACGATTTTTTGTCCCCCGAAGAAAGCAGGGGACTATTAAAATGGGTTCGTCCGTCTGTTTGTCTGTCCCTTTGTCTGTTTGTCTGTCCGTCATTTTCTGCTTAGAGTAAGCAGCGATTCATTGATATGTGTCATCTATTTATTTTGGGATTTCGGCGGGGGACATCAGCTTCACTGTTGGCTTGTTTTTTTTTCTTGTTTTCTTTTTGCAGTGCAGGAAGCTAGTGAAAAGGAATTGGAGATGCAAATGACTAGTTCAGCTGTATTCTGAAGATTTTGCAGACGATAGATGATAAAATACCAACCAAGAATCCGTTAATAATCTAATCCGAGATACCTGGTTATTGTCGCAGCAGAGGACCATGTCAATTAGTGACCGATACTACTGTGACAAAATCAGTTTGACAAAGTCATTCAAGAAAACTGTATTAAAAACAACAGGTACAATCCTCTTCTGTCCCTCTCTGTCTACTACCGAGTGTGCTAAAATAGATCTGCACGAAGGCCAAC